GTTATTAGCATTGATTGTTTTGTTGCAAAATAAACATACTTCACTTGCTGAAAATGGTGAAAGTTTAATAAGCGCCCAGCCTCGAATAAGCACCCACCATGAATAAGTGCCCACTCTCAAGGTCCAAAAATTTAATAAGTGCCCTTGACGGTTAACTGAATAAATACGGTATGTCCTGTAAAAGTTTATCTTCTCACACACTGAATGCCTGCATCTACACATCTGCCACAAGACAAGGGACAGCACTTTATACACAACCGTTATGACAAATTTACAGTGGACAAAGGCAGAAAGAGAAAAACTTTCCTGAACTTAATACACTGCCAGAAAACTAATACAACATTTTTTTGAACTGGAAAAGGGCAGGATAACAGGAAAAGCTGTTGCACTGTACAGCAAGAAAAAAAAACTGCATCACGTCATTAGTGTGAAAACTGATACCTAACTCCATTCAGTGTGAGAGAACTTCTTTTCTTGCCTCTTTTGCAAGCTCAGCGCGCAAGAAAAACATAACGTGTAAAGACCGTGGGTTCAGTATGGATACATACAAATTCTCCCGCCTCATCTCCATACATTTCCTTAAAGAATTATCTGTTTAAGGTGATAATTTTGATAATTCTTACAGCCTTTTCTCTTGTATTGAAATTATCAAGAGAAAATTGATGTCAATATGTAAAGTTGTATATTACTTGTAACTACCACATTATACATACTCAGTTCTGATGAATGGAGATACTGTCTTGTCCACAAAAGAACCAAATCCAAGTTGATAGTCTTTGGTGATGTTTTTCATGGCAGTAGCTGAATAGACAAACTCACATTTAATTTTCTTATAACATATCAAATTAACTGTCATCATCAAAACAAACCATTTAAATTCTTGAGGTTTAACTTGTAACGAGGGAAACTTTTAATATTATAAAACCTTTTGTAAGAAGAATAAGACTGAAATAACAAAATGATTCTTTTACTTGAATGACTAACTAGCTAGCTCCATTATCATGAATTCAGAAAAGTACATTTTCATAATAGCCCAGCCAAAAAGGACTGGATGCAGTGTGGCTAAGCAGTTAGAGCACTAAATATTTCGAAGCAAAGAATTGTCCAAACTTGTGGCATAACTGTTAGAGAGGATGATGACATGAAAGAAATTACGAACTATACTGCCCAAATACGGCCGAACCTGCACCAACCGCCACCTCTCTACAACAGTGATGGCCACTAAAGCAAGTTCCCAACTGCCAAAATAACCTCTCCACAATGGCCACATTTTTCAGCAACTGATGAAAGTCAAGAATGGTCATGAAATTTGATCCGTATGGCACATTGATGATTAATGGCAGCAATCGTATTTTGATTCCATTTAAAATGCTGCAGTAAGCATAAATAATTGTCTATGATACTTATGGTGAATTTTGAGAACCTTACTTGTTTTGTCACATTAACATTTTGGTTCTAAACATTATTCACGTTTTTTGTGTATAATTTTCATCTCTATATAATTATGATATATGATTGGATTACCATTATGAGATACAGTAAGCATGAACTGAGCAAAAAAAGTTGTACTCCCTAAAAAAATTGCCATATTACCTCCCTACCTACCTATAATGGCCACCTTCTTCTGTCACCAAGGTAGTCGTTGTGGAGAGGTTCGACTGTATCACATTTTACTTACTCGGAGATGTTAAATAAATGTTTTTGGCAGCTCTTTTATACCACAATAAGCTAACTTAAGCTTTATTGAGTCACTTATTAACCAGGCTAACAACTAAGATTGCCATGATTCAATTTCAATTCAGGTGAGATAAAGAACACCTATTAACTTACACGCTGCAATTGAACACTGTCTTACCAATTTTCCCAGCTAATAGTTTTAAGTTGTTCAAGTCATCACTCATCGAAAGTGACATATCCATGAGATAATAAAGATCTACAGGGTAGTCCTCTGCGGGTCGCACTGTCAGGGTAAACTTTGCAGGTTCCCCTGAATAAAATTAATGAACATCAATTTGATTTTGAATGTGTAGACCTAGATCTATTACGTACAATGTACCTTAAAATATATATTTGTCTGGATTTGCAAAAACATGTCTTCAGAAATCTCTCTTATTATACCCTCTGACTGAGTCTTGTAGTGGAGCATATTTTTTCATTATTATTATTACTATTAATTTTTTTTCAATAGTTACTTTTTTTATTTAATCAGTACCGGATAGGCCACAGTAGATAGACGTTGATGAGTTTCTCACTGGCTATAAACCTATTGCCCCCCCGCCTCCCCCCAAAAAAGTTTTTCATAACTTCCCATAATTCTCTTGGTATGTCAGTTTGAAGTAAGCGCTCATAATAGACTGAACTCGGCTCTCATAGGCCACTACTGTTCAGCATGCTGCTTCCTATTTCGCTGTTGTCGATAAAACTTAAGTCACGGCCACTTACAAATGACTTGATAATCCTGTTCGTTTCGGTTACTTTGTCCCCATGCTTGGCTAGTCTGTTCTATGAGTGAGGCCTGAAATGGTTACACTAGCTGTGGTATTCTGTGATATGTCTTCGCACAGATTTATAATATCCTCTGCGACTTCCCAAGGAGATCTGTTGCGAAGATCGTTTGTGCCAACATGTAGTATGATCTCACTTGGGTCAATAAAAACAGTTGGGATGGCATAGCTTTCCATATCGCTCACTGTAGCACCCGGGAAACACCTCATCTGAACTTTAGTGTTATTTTTTGAAATTTTCCACCATTGTAATCTCTTCACAGTAGAATCGCCAAGAATAACTACCCGATTTTCTGAATCTTGTTGCTCAGATTGCCGATTGAAGCTAATTGTGCCAGGCCGTGATTGGTTTTAAGGCTCATAGCGAGATGCCCGACTAAAACAGACCTAGAATCCTCCTTTCTTGACCCCACAATCGGTTGTCTAAGACAAGATCACTTCAACTAAACACTCTAACAAAGCGTTTTCATGCTTGTACACAATATTCTTATAACACGAGCGCTACAACATACCAGAAATCTGTCTGTCAACAACTTCAGGAAATCACACAATTAACCACGTTCACGGCGCTGATAAAACTATCCACAACCAACCAGACACAATGTTTCCACACTTCAAACAGGTGAAATATCATCACATTACTCTCTCTCTCAATAACTCTCGCTTTCTCCACATAAATCATCACATGTAAACTTTGCTGACACAGTCAATTTATTCAAGATCCCTGATGTAGACGAGCCGTTTTGAAAGGGCCACATGGACGCCGGCCTTCAAAACACATTTTTACTAAGTCTCTGGCCTGGTCAGAAATCAGCATCAATTTTGCTCTCGCCGAATAGTTTTGACTCCTAAAAGCTACTTTTTGAGGCCAGAGACTAGTCACCGCCCACATCAAAGCTCGCAATATGATGCCTTTCTGTCTCAAGCCCGAGATCAGTGTTTCACCCGTCTAGCCAAAATGAGACGAAATACAGTAACGTATTGGACGACGGCAGACTTTGCCAATTGTGAGACTTGTTCCTTCATAAGGCTTAATGATGCCTTCTGGAAAACTTTGCTGCAGGCGGCCAAAAAGAAACCTAGAAATCAACCGACCACCGAAAACAGCATATTATCACATGTTTTTGATCTACTGCAGCTTTTAAGGGGATTTTTGAACTGAAAGGATCATTAAAAAAAAATTTAAAAAAAACAAGAATGGTCAAGTAATGAACAAGCCTCAAATGAGACTGTTGCTAAAAATTTCTGGAGGTACGTTTTATCAAATCCAGACAGATACATATATATATATATATATATATATATATATATTAATAATACGTTCTACCCAGAATACATATATATATATATATATATATATATATATATATATATATATATATATATATATATATAGGAAATAGGAAAAAAACTACACTTTCATCCCGTGAACTGTAGAAGAAATTATGCAGCCAAGAAAAACAGTGTGTGAAACACTGTTATTCTCACTTCTGAATGACACGTAGCAAATTTGCAAGATTCCACGTTGCACCGTAATAACTGTCATTAACCATGTTCTCCAAGAATAAAGAATGGTTTGGAAGATGTGTCTTGTGGATTTTCAGAATTGAATTGCATCTTCTCTTCCTATATACCAAGCAGTATGTACTTGACTAAACAAAAGAGCAATTATTGCAGCAATCTAGAAACACAATTTAGCTTAACTGTACCTGCTCTAAGATCCAGTTTAATTTTCTGTGGTTTCACTTGGACTCCAGCACCAAGATCATCATTCTGCAATTACAATTTCAGAGAAATTTTCATTTTTTAAAGGTCAATCACTTAGCTTTCCACCTGTCAAAAAGAACTGAGGTTTTTACTCACATGATGGGAACCACACTGAGCTTAACCCATTCGCCCCTGAACCGCCCGTAACCGCCCGTGCGGATCCAGGTCCTTTCTACCCTTTGTGACGTCATCAGTTTTAACGGTCAAGGACAACTTTCTTCGCTAACTTGTGCAGAGTGAAGAGATCTTTCAAACCATACCAGAATGAGCACAATTCAGTCAAGGACACCGGAGAAAGAAGCAAAAAACCACGTGACAAGGACCTGAAAATCTCCATGAAAATCTTGTTCCATTACCCACCTACCTTTCCTTTCACCTAGAATCCTAAGATCCTAAAAGCTTTCCTAAAAACTCTTCCCACCAAAATGAAGCCTACTAAATGCCCAGCAAGAGAAAAAAACAATGAGGCAAGAAAAGCGAAAAAAGAAGGGAGGAGAGAAAGCGAAAAGTAAAAGTCAAGACTGCTGTGTCGCTTTTAAACCCAAAAACTATGTTGAAATTTTGCTTTCTGCGCATGCCCGAACTTCGCAAGCTGATATTTTGCATCTGGATCAGAAGGCCGCCAAGTGTACAACCTGTAAACCGGTTTGTGGTAAGTTTTAGCTCTTTATAGCACGACAGTGACCAGAAAACCACTCAACTAGCTTCAAAACGTGTTTTTGGGCAAAATCTCCAGGAGCGAATGGGTTAACTCACATATTATAGAGCAGGGTGAAAGCACCAATAACAATGCAATGTACATATGTCATTTTTGTTTTCCAGTCATTATCCTGGTCAAATTTCAAGTCCAAGGGATTATAAGTGCAAATTTAATATTTACAAAACCACTAAATATGGGGAAACATGTTTCCCCAGATACAACTGTTCAGAAACTTTTCACACATGTGATGTCATATAAACAGTTGGTTTTCCTGTACTCCACAGTTGCATTTGTTCTCTGCCTTCATAAGCCTTTTTAATTCAAAGCTGTGAGGCTTTTGCAGTGTCTAACAAAGTTAGAAGTTTCCTTTGACTTGGTAAAACTTGTCAAAAAATTAATTTTTGGAATTAAGGATTCTGGCTTATATAAAATGCACTAGTGAAGAAAAATACAAAAAGGAAGCTTTCTGTGGTGCCTTTTGAAAAATATGCAAACAAAAATTTTAAGTCAAATCTCATCCTCCTCCTCAAATCTAAGTCTCTATGAGCTAAAGCTTAACAACAAGTTAGTACCTGTGTGGGTGTGGCCTTGCTTGAAGGGTTCGAAAGATTTTGGCACTTTAGAGCTTGTAAGCGGTTCAATGTGTCACACCGATCACCTGAAAAATTCTGATCAGAAAGAAAACTCAACATTAACCAAAAGCAGAATAGCAAGATGTACAAACTTTAGAACAGCATTCTTTGATAAACCAGTATGAAAAGACAGGTTAACCAGGGCTGTCAAAAAGTTTTTAAGTAGCACTGGCTTGGCTGATAATGAATAGCAGGCGGCTTTGGAACTCGCACCAAAGGCACAAGTTCTTGAGGGTCGAGGAAACTAGGGACATTTTGAAATTTTGAGTCACAAAAATGGCATTTCCAGGGGTTTTCAAGAGGCATTTTCCACCTTGGATGCCATGTTGTTTCGTCAGAATACACACAAGACTGGGAACAATGTCGTCAAAATGTCCCAGGTGTTCCAAGACATCGCGTGGTTTACACCTTTCACAGATCCAAACCTTTGAATATGCATTCAACGTCATTCAAAACTGGGAAACAGATGCTTTACAATTTTATTTGATGGTGGAGATGAAGGATAGCTAACTAGCCAGCGATTTTGGCCACCTACTGGCCCTTATTGACAACCCTGGTTAACCTTGCCATTGTCACTATCGCTAAGCAATGCATTTTTAAGTTTAAATTTACAATAGTAAATTAGAAGTTTCAATATTATTATTGACACCACCATAACTATACACTTGAAGTCTAAAAAGGTTTGATGCATTATTATGCACAATTATAAACTTCTGCAATACAGCGTGCAAAGAAAGTAGTGTCCGATAGCCCGGGGCTGGTGGATTTTGCTATCGGGCTGGTGAATTTTGTTATTAACTTGCCCAATGGGCAAGTGAATTTTTTTGAGGAATTCAAATTACAGAAGAACTGTGAAATCAATCTGCTCGTCAAAACGTTTTTGGGACTAGTTGAAATTATATTTGGGCTAGTAAATGTTAGCTTCAGCTTGCCCGAATGGCCAGCTGTAAAAATGACTTTCTTTGCACCCTGCAATAATAGGGAATTCTACAGTTGTGTGCTCACTGCCTTGGCCTTTGAATAGAAGCAAAGCTAGGGGTTAAGACCCTCAGCATAATGGTGATAACATGGGCACGCGTGCAATGACATGGCATGCTAAGCATGACATCTGACACGCGCATGAGCATATTTAATAAGGAAACAAAGAATGTCACTGTAGCTTTTGTTTTGCACGCCTTAACACGCTCAATCTTTTATTTTCAGCAGCGTGTCAAATGACACGCTTCGTAGCATGTTTAAGTCATCCAATATGGCACGGTAGCAAAAAAGAGTTGTTAGGCAACTGAAGAGGTTAAGCAACAAAGCCTTTACTTTTACAGGTTACTCGAACATTGACAGAATGGTCGCGAAAAAGGCGCCTGATGTAAAAAGTTCTTCCTAGCACAAACACTCGCACCTTACACTGAAAGATGAAAAATGAAATAACAGGACTGTAAATTATTGAAAAAAAATCAATAGCAATAATGTGGCTCTTAAAAAATATAACTTGATAGGCGATACAACTCGTGCTGAACTACAGTCGACTCGTGGTAACTTGAACCTTCCGCTGACTCGAAGCAATTTTCATTTCCCTTCAGAACGTTTTCTATATAATTTTACCCTCAACAACTCGAACTCCTGACAACTCGAACATTTTTCTGTTTCCCTTGAAGGTTGGAATTATTGGGAGTCAACTGTAACATAACAAGCCAAAACAGCATTGAAGCAGATTTCCACATTCCTGCTGTGCGTAAAATGTTCGCATAATTACTACATCTCAGGCGGTAGAACAATTCAATACTACGTGCATAAGGCTTACAGTTGGCACGACAAAAAGAGAGATAAATCACTCATGTAGTACGACTAAAACTTCAACTTGCGCTTTTATATGACCACGAGGTGCTTCGAATTGCTTCAAGTTTTGTCTTAGAAATGTGTCTTATTAGGGGGTATTGTACGTCACCATAGTTACCATAGTTACTTCAGAGTGACATCGTGTAACGCTAAAACACAACACAGTAAACATTGCATACAACATGAGGGAACATTCTCAATGTGCAGTAACTGTCACAACGGAAGATTCAGATCAATTAGAAAGTGTCGAGGAAATGTATTTCAAAACGAGAGATTGAGGAAGAAGATAAAGAGGATGATTATTCAGACTCTAACAGCAGTTCTGACGACAAAGGCAATGACGCTGATCAAGATGAAGCTGTTGAGAACATGGAAATATACAAAATGGAATGTTCCAAATCGAGGGAAAATCGACTTTGGTTTGAGATGGCCCAGGTCCAAGTTATTGGGAGTCACCTGTATTTCGCTTAAGTAGTCAGGAGCGATTTGCTTAGCAGTTGAAATTTGATTTCTTTCCTTCTGGATCTTAACATTCAGCCCCCAACGGAATGATTGAAGCAGGATTAAAGCAGAAAGCCTTCGGCTTTCAACAGATACTGTACAGCAGGAAAAAGGTAAATCCCCTCAAAAATACACAATTAATAAATTTATCACAAAGTACAATTCAAATCACTACTGCTACCTCATCAGAACACCATGAACATGTTGCTGTTCCTATACACGTATTACACTTTGTTAAACTTCCACAGCTAGCTACTCCTGTAAATGTAGAAGGACAGTTGGTGTATTAACTACAGTCTTGTCAGACCTCTTATGTGCATTAGTAATAAAAAATCTTAATATTCAGGGACTAAGTAATCCCTGAAGATCACCAGTAGCTTGTATGTTTTGTTTTCCCACCACACGCCACCTGATAATAGTTTAGAGAACTGTTTCTTTCAAATTTAGTCTTATACCCTTGGATATGTACATATAATTTATAAGACAAAGGAGCAAATTCCCCTCAGACACTCATTGGGAAAATAAAAAATACAAACCAAAGAGTTTTATTGGTTGAACTTTCCCTCTTAATCAATCAACACTTTTACTGGAGCTTTCTATATGGTATGAGGAGAGCGCAAACTGACCACCCAAACAACTTAACCCACATTTATTGGTTATCGCTTATCCAAGTTATTTCCAGAAAACTAATTTATATTAACCAATTCTGTGGGGGGGGGGGGGTCCTTAACCAATTACATATTTTGTTGAGCAGATTAGCTAGAATAATAGATCTACTTTAACAGGTTAGTAGTTTTTAAACCATCTTGTGGGGTAGTTCGATCAACCCAGCTTAAGGATATCAATCAGTCAATTGATCAAGTCACTTAATTAAATCAGGAGAAGCTCTACTACACATGCAAGCACTACATTTTTCAACAATTACTTTTTTCAAGTTGCACCGAGCCCAGGAGGGGTTACTCCGAAAAATTTCAGGTAGGAGTATGCCACTCAAGGTCTTAAACCCTGACCCTATCTAAGGATGAGACAAACAAAAACTGATATCCTGTGAGACCCACTTTAAGGAAAATACAAAAACTAAGAATTTAACAGAAACACACAAGTGTCCAATAAATTGCTTTCCTAATACTCAACAGCACAGTTCAGTTTTAACAGATGATTTGTCTCTTTTGTAGCTGGGCATTCAGGCACTTGAAAGGGCACTGAGTTACCCTATCTAAGGATCAAACCAGGATACAAGGCCAAAAATGGTACCCTATTTAAGGATGGAGACCCTCCAAAATCCCTCTGTCCTATCAGGTGGCACAAACCTATCTAGACCATGTATGGGAGTGTACGTCCCTGGGTATCCAAGTTTAAAGGTGAAAACAATGTAAACATGCGAGTTAGTTTTCAGATTTGGACTCAGCTCATCACAATAACTTTTCATTATAAATGTTCAGACACAAGCATGTTTTGTTCTACTCACATTCATGACAGAGATTTTAAAGATGTTTTCTTCTCAAATAACCACCAATGAATTGCATTTGTTTGGCCCAAAACTCAATTTGCCCAAGATTATTTTACCCGGAAGTAAGTTGATTAGCCCGCTGAGAAACAACATTCCACAACACTATACAACACGGCTTATCAGAGATGTGTTTCAGTTAAGCTTGGATTCTGTTGCTGCGATTGCTAAAAAAGGTCCAGTGATCTGAATGGTAAACCATCTGAATGATCCGAGTGATCTCAATAATCACATTTCAAATACTAGAAGACATAAAACTGATATACCCTAGCCATCTCAATGTTCGTAACGTTGACTTTTGATATGTTTTGTGTGAAGTTTCCACTTGAAAAGGTTGTTGATCCACGTGTGCAGTAACTGTTTTTCATGTTTATTCCTTTTTTCAGGCTTAAAGAATGACAAATAAACATTTGGGTGAATCAACTTATGGGCGAAACAACCTGTTACCCCACTAACAGGGCTGTCAACCCCCCACATCATCAAACATTGAGAATTGATAAGGAAGGAATGATAGATAATGTCATATCTCATGACAAATGACGTCATTTTTGCCAAAAATGTTTGTTGATTCCGATCAACGTATATAGCACATAAACAGTTCATATTTAGCCAATTGCTTAAATTACGGTGGCATACCAGAATTTATGAGGTAACGTTCCATGTTAACAGTAGCGCAAACAATGCAAACTATTTGAAATTTTACAGTGGGAAAGTCGAGTCCACAGCAATAGCAACTTTGGCAATTATCCCAGAGATATCAGACTCTAATCTGGAGACCAGAAGATACAGTCCAAAATCTGGAGTCTCCGGGATTATCCGGAAGAGTTGACAGCACTGCACTCATGACCGTAACAGGTTTTCTTAAAGTATAAAAAATATTTTAAAAAGACAAGCAGACCAACTCACCTTGACTATTACAATACCCAAGGAAGGCAAAAATGAGCAGCAAACAACAAAAGAGAACTCGCTGTTCCATTTCAATTTCCTCACTGAAAAAACAAACAAACCTAAGACCTGATTCAAATGTAGTACTACTGCCATACTGAACTCAATTATATATCAAATTGAATTTGAATTTAGCACAGAACAAGCACAATATTTGAAACCAAATTGTGCCACTGCTGTGTAGCATGGCAAGCTTTGTTGTGCTAAACAAAATAATGTTGTGCTACTGTGGTGCTGAACTCAATTCATAACTTACAAATACATTAGAACACATTTTCAGAGTGCATTAAACCACTTTTTCTTTTTTAGTTTTTTTTTTTGACTGAGTTTAAATTTGAAATTTGAAAACACGTCATGCGACAGTCATGCTAGAGTTGTCCTGAAGTCGAGTCAGACCAACAGTGGCGCTAGCACGTCGTTTGAAACAGCTCCTAGTATCGAAACACTAAAAGCAGGCTTGAATAATGCTAACATATCCTCAACAGGATGCTCATAAAATAAACCAGTGAATAAACAACCTCAACCTCATTCAAGTGTAATAACTATTTAAAGTTTGAGTTAAAGACAATAAAGGAAAGCTTTATTTACAGTATTTTTTTTTCTTAGCATTAGCTGTTCTAGCTACTCATGAATTTCAGGAAAATAACGTTTATTGACATAATGTATGTAAAATGAATGTATTTTAGCACAGGTCGAGCATGATAAGACGGAGATAAGCGATTTAGCACTTTCTTGTTTATGATATACTGCCTTCAGCTACTATTGTTAAGAGAGTTAACGATGAAATCAGTTGACACTGTTGACTCTAGAACTTGGTTTGAGACCCATGTCTTCGATAAAAGCAGAATTTTCTCAAATGGGCATGTCTTCTAAAACTTGTAAAGGAACAGTCGCTAAATTGCGGTACATCTTATTTGTACGTTGATATTTCCTTACCATTATATCAAAACCAACACTTTCTTTCATGTTAAGAATAGGAAAAGTTTAATGATCTGCCTTACCTAGGATGTTATTGTCCCTTCCCAGAAGAAACTTTGTATTTTCAGGGTAGTATGAAGATACGAATTGTCAAGAAATGAGAATCTTCTCTGCCTCTTCGGATCGGAGGAAGTGGCATTCAAATTCTTCATACCAAATTTGGGCATACTTACCATATTTAGGATGCGAGGTGTGCTGGTATTTGTTAGGATGCGTGTGTTGGCTCATTTGGGTGGAGTAGGCATTTTCATTTTTGCACTTCCTGCTCAGTGACATTTTTCCGGTAATCATAATAACTCCTGGTCACCACTGTGTAAAAATGTATATTGACATATATTTTTTCTAATAGCTAGGAGCTAACACGAACACTTGTAGGCTCCTGTCCTAGTCTCATCATTAAAATATAAATTTCTGAAGTATGGAATGTAAATAAAGGTTATTGATGCAACGATCAAGCCACTTCCTTTTCCTCCAAAAGCGACAATTATCACCATTGTAAAAATAGAGAGATTTTTAGAGTCCTTTTACGGCAGAAGGCAAACGTCTTTTTGTACCACCTAACCAATTTTAGTGCTGATTATACCTGCACCAAAATTAAAAATTTCATAGATGCCAGGATCATCAGTAAGAATGACGTTGAACAGTTTTTCATCCCGTCAGTTCTAAATTTGAGAAATTGCCAATTTGAATCATAGTGACGTTTGCCGTTTACCATAAACGTGATTCGTAAATCTCTCTATTAGTGACGTCATAGGTACATACATACATAGACAGGAGCTCCAGACATAGATAACTTTATTTAACTTCCGATTTTAGAGTAGCCAAATGCTAGTATCTCCGATTAATTACATATATAACATCACACTTAATTAAAACATATTAGGTTTATAACATATATGTAAAATGTAGATAGATAGATAGATAGATAGATAGATCGATCGATCGATCGATCGATCGATCGATAGATAGATAACTTTATTTAAACACGGTTAAAATTCCTTCAGCATGTACAAAAAATCAAAGATCTATTATACCTAACTAAACTAACTCTGATTAAGAATATATTCATTAAATTTTAACTACCTAGCTATTTACAAATAAAAGCTGCTTTTCAAGGATGCCGTGTACAACTGTATTAATGTATGATCTCATTCAAAACTGTTGCGACACAGTTTGCGTTTAAAATCATGTAAAGAATCTGCAGATCTTAAATCATGGGATAGGCTGTTCCACAGCTTAGCTCCGCTATAGGAGAAACTTTTCTCTAAATAATTGGTACGGGGAAGTGGAAGGACTAATTTATTTTCAGTATTCCTCAGTCGATAAGAAGTTATTTCGTCACGAGACACAAATTTAGAGGTTAGATAGTCGGGAGTCATCCCATGTACGGTTTTATACATCATAATAGCCGTCGATACTTGTCTTTGGTGTTTAAGCTTACGCCAACCCAGTGCCAGGAACAAATCGTCCACATTACAATCAGAATTAGGGGACATTAGAATATGGGCTGCACGATTTTGGAGCCTCTGCAGCCCGGGGGGGGGGTACTGCCATATATGGGCTATATGGGTATGTGCCGCTGTGAAGGGTATGGTTTTCAAGCAGTTTACTCTAGGATAGGTTATATAAATCAGAGCGTTTGGGTCTAGAATAGGGTATCATTTTTCAGGAAACTGATCAGTTGGTTGAAGATTTTATCTATACTGGGGAAACAGCTACTCTAGGATAGGGGGATTTTGAAAGTTTACTCTAGTATAGGGTAGCAAAATTCAGCTGAACTAGCTCTGGTATAGGTCAAGGGTTCCAGGGTCCCAGCGGCACATCCCCGCTCTGCAGCTTATCGGAAAGGTCAATGCCGCAGTTACTCCATACGACATTACAGTAATCAAAATGCGGTTGAATTAAATTGTCGTAAACATTAATTAATACATTAAAAGGAATAAGATGTCGTATTCTTTTAATTGCACCCAAAGCAGAAGCAATCTTTTTACAAATACCCTGTATGTGGCATTCCCAGCTTAAGTTTTGGTCAATATGCACTCCAAGAGATTTTGCCGTTGACACTTGCATCACGGGATGGTCGTTTATCATAAAAGAAGGAGTTTCAGAAAGCTTTGATAGCTTCTGCCTCGACCCAACTAACATATACTCAGTTTTAGTCAAGTTAAGGGTCAGTTTGTTAGCCGATAGCCATATATACACCTTGTTTAAATCGACGTTAACGCAGTCATTTATGAGTTTTAAATCTGCGCTGGCATAGGTTAGGCTGGTGTCATCGGCATACATTCTAGGTTCTGAAAAATGCAAGCAATTAGGTAGGTCATAAATATACAGTAAAAACAATAAAGGTCCAAGAATTGTTCCCTGGGGAACACCACATGTAACTAATTTTGGGTTTGACATTGAGCAATTAATTTGGCAAGTTTGGGTACGATTGTTTAAACCATTCGTGACAGGAACCGCGTAATCCATCAACTGTGTCGAAAGCCTTTTTTAAGTCTAAGAAGACAACGGCATTGACAAGGCGACGATCAACGTTCACTGCCCAGCTATCGGTAGCTTCGAGTAATGCGGTAACAGTAGAATGTAAAGAACGAAAACCAGATTGGTAACGGGATAGAATACGATTCTCAGTAAGATAGTGATACAACTGGTCGTAGACTACTCGTTCAAATACTTTGGCCACGACTGGGATCACCGATATTGGTCGATAATTGGTGGGATCATTTCGTTTACCAGAATTTTTATACAATGGAGTAACCCTAGCCGACTTCCACTCATCGGGAAAAATTCCTGTCAACAGTGATTGATTAAATATTAAAGTAAGAGACTCGGCGATAAGATAAGGGCACTCCCTTAATAATTTAGCTGATATACCAGCTAATGGCCTTTGATTTACAAAGTTTTGAAAGGAGAGAATAAATATGAGCAGATGTTATTTCCTTGAAGGCAAACTCCTTAGAAGTTCCACAAAGAAACTCTTTGTAGGTGGTATCAACATTCGAAACATTTCGACTAAGCCTTGGTCCAATCTCAATGAAGAAAGTGTTCAATAATTCAGCAACTTCTGCTTGATTGCTCGATTTTAGTCCCTGATATTGTATTTCATTTATTATTGTTTTATTAGATTTGCGGGAAGTCAATTCATTGATGGTCTTCCAGGTCTTACGTTGATCACCGGCATAATTATTAAAAGAATTATTATAATAGGCCTTTTTAGTAGCCTTGATTTCCTGATTTACTTTATTTTTGACCTTCCGGAATCGATTCCAAGAAGACGCATCCTTAGTTTTAACAGCTTTTTTCTTTAGCCCGTTTCTGAAATTCATTCGTTTTTTCAAATTTGTGGTAATCCAAGGAGACTTGGTGGGACGGGTGCGTTTAGTTTTCACAGGGGCGTGCTTATCACAAACACCTAGGAATAATTCTTTCCATTTTTTCCACATGTGTGTATAGCGTATAGCACAGTGGCGGATCCAGAACTTCAGATAAGGGGGTGGGGGGGGGGCCGGGTCATCCAGCCGGAGATAAGGTGGGGAGGGGCGGTCTCCAAACGTTTTTTTTCCGGACCTTCGGGCCTCAGTTTGGTCTAAAAATAAGGGGGGCTGCCCCCCGGCCCCTCACCTGGATCCGCCACTGTAACATCAATGGCCCATGAGAGACAAGCGCGCGTTCGAATGGTAAAAGTTAAAATATCCAGTCATACGCTGTAAATTCAGAAATATATTCCTATTTTGTCAAAGAAAAATAAAATTATGTGTATTCTACATGGGGGAGAAACAAAACAAAACGCATAGGTTCACACACTTTTCCAAATGCTTCTTAAACTTGTGAATGAACTACAGAATACAGGACAAATTTTCTAGGTATATATTTGTCGGGGTGGCTCGGTTAAAAGGCATGCTTCTTAAGCCCGACTGAAAAGCTCCAAAATCACATGTAACGAAGGAAAAAGAAAGAGCGAGAAGAAGGAAAAAAAAGCAATGGGAGAGAGTTTTGGCAGAAAATAACCGTTGGACGCAAAAGGTCCATTTGGCGATAACGTTTTCAAAAATCCGGCTAGATATATGTAATATATAACTTCAAAGATTAATCGTATAGAAATAGTTTGACAATTCGTGTGTTTAAGATGTTAACAGAGGAGTCATCTGTAATGAGTCTAGTCAAATTGTGGTTTAAAACCAAAGTAATTGCAACAGAATTTTTTTCAACGCCATTTAATTGTTGGAAGACTACTTAACAACATGCTAAAAATCCGCCAAAATTCGTTCGGTAAAACATGAAAAAAATTGGCAATAAACCGGCGGCGCAAGTTTTTTTTTTGCCTCCGATGAGCCCGAAAATCACACTAGAAAAGGAAAAGAAAAAAACATGGAAACAACGAGGAGAAAGAAAGGAGGCGAAGAAAAAAGCAATGGCTGCACTGTTAGTTAGTTTCTGTTGAGTTCTTTGCATTGAGCATTTGAACGCCGAAAAGCTATTTGATTGAAGAGGTCCGTTTTGGCTGTAAAGTTATAGTACAAAAATCGAACTAGATATATATTTTTTTCAGCCACATGCACGCAGCTAACAGATCTGATAAAAAGAGCGTTCTATTTTAAAAGCTAATAATTGAGTAACGGCTTCTCGTTTCTTTTAGATTTAAAGCCTTACGTCTAAATTTGTCGTAATTTTAAAGCTAACAGCTGACTCCATTACTTTGTTAGCCTCCTGTTACTTTGGTGTCCCTTGAGTGGAGCATGGTCTTCCTATGCAGCCAACAGTGTTTAATATTTATCCTTTTCAAAAAACAAAAAACGTCCTTTATGTCACCGAAAACTAGGTAGCAATTATTGTTTTTTCTTTAAATTTTCTGCAAACGTAACTAAGACATTTTGCGCATTTTTCGTTTGAACGTATGATGTCAACTACCGTGGGTGTCCTGTGTTAAAAGCTCAAAATGTTTAATGCTTAATTTTGACACTTTCCACCGAACGGAATTTGGCGGATTTTTAGTATGTTGCTAGATATTCCACCAGTTTTTAAATGGTGTTGAAAACAATTCTGTTACAGTTAGTTTGATGTTGAGCCTCTAAAATGCCTAGATTGACTGGACTATAAGCTCGTTCCAAATGTGTGAAGGACCGCTGACCGGTGGTTCGACGGCATCACAGGCCGGGATGTTCAGCTGACTTACATTGTGGAATGCGTGGAATGCAGGTTAAATTTCTCGGCCAACTGTAAATTGGGAACAAAATTACGTATACTTTTGTTTAAACACCATTACAGCGTCTTTCAAGTAAAGTCTATCTTCAAGTGGACAGTTAGCATTATATTCCTTGCGAAATGTGACCAAATCTGCCCGAACTCTTTGGCAAAGTACGACTCGCGCAGCAAAGTTTTGGACTAATTATGGTTTCTTAACGTTGCGTTTACCAGTATTTGACTTGCATGCAGGCCTCTTTTCCCCGCGGTACTCGCCCGGGGGGGAGGGGGTACTGCCATATATGGGCTATATAGGTATGTGCCGCTGTGAAGGGTATGGTTTTCAAGCAGTTTACTCTAGGATAGGGTATATAAATCAGAGCGTTTGGCTCTAGAATAGGGTATCATTTTTCAGGAAACTGATCAGTTGGTTGAAGATTTTATCTAGGCTAGGGAAACAGCTACTCTAGAATAGGGAGTATTTGGGGAGTTTACTCTAGTATAGGGTACCAAAATTTAGCTGAACTAGCTCTGGTATAGGTTAAGGGTTCCAGGGTCCCAGCGGCACATCCCCACCCAGAAATTCCTAAAGCCGGGGGCACTCTGCGGGCGAAAGGAAAAAATACCAGGAGCAATAAACGGAGTTAACTGGCGCTTTCACCATAAACGTTTTGCAATTGGCCGTTTTCCAGATGACCACAACTACCAAGCTTCATTTATGTTCGTTTTTGCTCTGTTATTTCAATTTATCGTTCAACCCTTCAAAGATGTAACTAACAATAGCCCTTATTTGCAAAAGGAAACAACAAACCAAAAGTATTCTGGTTATTGTAGTTGTCTGAGAAAACGGCCGACATTTGGCGACGCTACCACTGGTTTCGTCATTTGGCGGGGAAACCTGTGGTAGCGTTGCCAAATGTCGGCTGTTTTCTCAGGCTAGTGGTTGTAGTCGCCATCGTACAATCGCCATCCTTTTCGGTATATGTCAGTGTTCTCTTAATTTTAGTGGTTGGGTGTATATTTTTTCTCACATCTGGCAAACTTCTATAATGATTGAATCTTGCATAGCGTGCATAGCAAGCATTTCACGCCCGATTTAATTCGCGAAAGCAGGAACAAGAGCAAGTTTTGCTCTCGCTTTAACTTCTCCGCCATTAACTCGAGTGGAAAGGCTTGCTAATCAGGCTAAACTTTGCATGGTACTGTAAATACGATCTGGCAAAACGTGATCGGGATTTTTTGGGGTATAAAAAAAAAAACAATCTGAAGATTGATGTAGTACCACGCCGAGTGTGCCGGCCAGGTAGTTCTGCCTGATAAAGTAAAACCATAACTGTTTTACGTTTAATTGATAATTTTATGTACTCCGGGTTATATAATATGAATATGAGTTTGGGAGAAGGTTAATGTTTGGTCAAGAGTGTTTTTGGGTTTCGTTCGGATCTCAGTTTTGGAATGATTTTTTACTTATTTCGATTATCTACGTCACTTTAAATCTGGGATACCCCTAGCCCAACCCCCAGCCCACCACCACCACCCCGGGTTCTCATCAATCTCAGTCGCTGAGGACGTTTTGTTTTCTGTAAAACGCGTTTTTTTCTGTTTTTTTAAATTTTGTAATCACTAATTTTTCGTTTAATTGGTCATGATGGTCATGTTCGCGAGATAAGATGACCCGACGATGGAGAGCTATCAGGGAACGACGGATTTATGCCTCGTGACCAAAAATGGGTCACCCCCGGTGTAATATAATTTATTAGTTTTCTTCGTTTGACGTACTATTGTCAGGGTTAGGCTCATAGTTAAGTTTGTTTTATTTACTTTGTTTTACGTCAGCTGTGAGTAATAAATTATATTACGCCGGAGATTAGCCCAAAAAATTCTAGGCCTCCAAATATTCTCGATGGCACAATTGAAGTTTGGTGACAGCTGAGAAAATTTTGGTAGGTAAAAAAGACTCGTTCGCACTAAGAATGGCTTTTTCGCAAAACAAACAAAATTTTGCGTAATGTGAACAGGGTCATAGTCAGCTTTGGGTAGAAAAAACTGCTTATTTGAGGGAAATATTCATAATTCGACTTCAATCACAATCAAGTCGCGCATGCTCTGATACACGTTCTATCCATAATGACTGTTGGTTTGAATAAAATAATGTATCAAAGATTTAAACAAAGGATCAGAGAAATCAGAGAGGTAGATTTCTTTCACGCATAAATACTCTTACACTTATATAATTATATATCTTTTTTTACTCTCGGCCTTAAAAATATTCAGTTTGAGGAAGTCTTTTTGGCTGATGGCGTTTCTTGTCTACACAGCGACTCATGTTCTACACCGATCGTCATGATGGGCACTTTATTTTATACATCAGTGGCTCTTTTAGTGAAAAGGCGGGAAAATTATCCCTCCCCCAAAAAAAAGCGAATTGCTGTGTTAAGAAATGTGCCAAAATGCGCAACTCACAGATTATAACATAAGCGTTCAATCTGATAACATGTATTATTTATTTTTCGATGGAAGATCCGTTATCACCATTGAATACCTCGATGCAATACCCTGATCATCGCCTGATTGAAAAGGAGCGATTTCTAAAGTTACCTGCAAACGGAGGCAACACTGACCCCCAACATTGTTGCACCAACAATAATGACAACACTGTTGCGTGTTGTTGCGTCCGCGTTTTGCAGTGGAGTGCAAACGGTGCAGTTACTCTCAACAACATGCAACAGCCGGGGTCTGCAAACGGACGTAAAATGGAACACCCAACAATGTTGCCTTCGTTTACACGGGGCTTGAAACTTTTCGTTAATTAAAAAAATCCTGTAATATTGAACAATAAAATCAGGGCATACATTATCTTCTTGCGCTTGAATCCTCATTTCCTGATCCTGGCAAATTAAATCAAATATATTTTGTCGTGGCATCAGTTCTTGCCGGAGAGGGATGCATAAAATCATCAAAAGTTTTCATTGTTAACGGTCAGCAGATGTTGACGTTGGTCTTGATTAATGATCTTCCTTACCTTCCTTATTTTTTTTAAAAAAAGGGAATTAATTATGTCAAAAAGTATTCACAGTATGAAATTTTTTATTCGTGCTTCTCCTTATACCACGAACGGACCATTGTTGCTTATTGCGAGTGACGTATCAGTTGTTTGACAGCTTTTGTGTCGCGGAGACGATGGTCATTAAATATTCGATCCTTCATATGCAAATTTAAAAGAGCACCATGTACGTATTTCTAATCACTTCAGCTATATGAATATATCACTACTCTTAAAATGATCGTTATTGTTTTCATTTTAGGGGGATTCCCTGGCTCGCCCTCTGATTGGTTAATGTAACAGACTTACTTCTGGAACATTTCATTTCGTGTGCGCACTTGAAATAAGAAGTCAGATCTTTTGTGTTGAAAGGGATCGTCTGTCATACTTGGTCTCAGCAATGTTATTCTTCACTTGGACAATGTTATAATCACGTCATGAACCAATTTGTAATGAGGTTAGTTTTCATCAAACATTTCGACTGGATGAGTCGCGGAATACCCCAGCCGACATTTATTATCTTATACTTATCCATGATTGTTACATTCTCCATAGAAACATCTTTTAAGAAGTCGGTCTTCCGGTGTTTGGTTCGAAAGTAACATATTGTTGACGTCATTGTGTTGTTTCTGCACATCCTTGGTACGTGTGCAGTACAAGCGACTAGGCCAGACACTTCATTATTTGAAGGTGGTCGCCAATTTGACTGTTCGCAATCATGGCCAGATAGATGGTTTTGCATTTCACACTGTAATCAAATAATTATCACCATATAAACTTGCATGAATATTAAATTATTAAAGCGAAACTGGTGTTAAGACAGCATATTATTTATAGCTGAATCCTTTTTTCATTTACGTAACGCCGAAACACTGTTTTCTACTTTTCTTCTCTTTCTGGATAGATATCTTAATTAAGTACTCCTCACCGGCCTTGAGGACTCAACAATGTACAGCTGAGTGCAAAAATACTAGTGTTTCACATATCAAAGAGGTCTAGCTTCACATGTAGATACATCGTACTCTCTCAAGTAGCAAGTGACCCCCTTCTTTAGAAAAACTTTTTCCTACTTTTCAGCACTTTAGAACAACGTGTTATTCAGTTCAAATTTTTCGACCCATGAAGCCCACCTACCCTGCGACTGTCAGAGCTTCACAACTGCTAAATATATAAAGGAACTAAGAACGATTACATGGACAAGAAGCTTTCAATTCTCGTGCAATACATTGGAGCTGGTAAGCAGACATACATGAGAAACTGAGGAAACCGATTCACTTTTTGAGGTCAAGGTTGTCTCGGCTCAGGGAGTTCAGAAGTAGAGCTTCCGTATGTTAAGCAATTTCTAACGTGTGTTGCCGTTCGATCATGAGATGTTAGTGCAAAACTCCTAAAACATAGCCTGTCTTTAATCGCTGGGGACTGGATGATAATATCGAGTTAAAGTGTAGAATATCGTGTAGTGGATAAGTTAACTACAGAAGACTGCACTCTTCAGTCATTGAACAAGATGGTAGTTTTGACGGCATTTGCTGAGTACGGGCTGTCAGATAAAGCCCTTTACTTACCAAACCTCAGATTTGTCATATTATTGGAGAAGGAGAAGAAATTCCTTGTTTTTTTTTTTATGAAAGTCCGATTTTCTGACAATTTTTTTAACGAACCTTTTTTAAATAAATTTATACTTCAGAAAAAAAGTAACTCGAAGTTACTTTATTTGACGATTTTACCTTTCCTCTCAAAAGTTAAGATCCTCCGAAGGCTGCTAATTCCGAAAGTGACAAGGGAATTAAAAACATTTACGGTATTTCATAACAAAGATAAGGGGAGTTCTATTAATTTATCACAGTTATTTAAATGTTACCACCAAATTTCCACTCAATGAAAAAAAAATTATTTGCATTAGATCAACTCATATTTTACACTAGCTCTTACACTTGAGACATATACGGAGTCTATGTACTGAGGCCGAAAGAAGCGCTTGCAGTCAGCAGACATAGCTGATACTCAGCAAGCTGGCTAAAAAGATCTTTGAAATAATCGATAATAGCAAGAGAGAATGAAATGATAGATAATAGCCCAACTCTGAACCTTTTTGGTACATATCTTTCACGTGAAAATCAATGCAATGCAAAAATCAAACTCACTAAGACTTGTAAGCAGAGAAAGCCGGTAGGAAAACATCCAAGCAATCATGTCAATGTCTTGGTGATTTTTCAATGTCTTGAAGAAAAGATATCAGTAACTAAAAGAGTTAGGAAGTTCAAATAATTTTACTCTTTAGGGTATTGTTCGTGGATGAGCTTTAATATTCACAACGGCTTCTCTGGCTTCTGAGAACTTACAATCGCCTTCACGGCATCTGGCACTTGGAGGTTACAATGACTCTCTGTTTATTAATTTTTTCTCTTAAGTTGGGCTTAGTACGGGAACATTCAATCTAACGGTCAGGTGCAGAATATCTCGCAAAAATCACGGGGTATGCCAACTACCGCTGTAAATCGTCTGGGTACATAAAACAAAGAAAGCGACAAATCCCGCTATGTCCATAAAAGTAGCTAGCGGTGACAAAGAAGAAGCCAATGGGGTACGGGGTGGGAGCTTTTACGGTTGACGGGTGTACAGTTTATAGGAGATGAGAGAGAAGGCGGTCTTGGGGGAGTTACATTTGTGTGGTAACTTTAGATGCTATTAGTTTTGTCTTCAGTGTTGCACTTACAAAACCATAATTAAAGTGAAAGCAAGATCAATCACAGCGTAGAATACTGTATTTACTGTTGTACAAAGCAACAAACAAATACAGTAAATTACATAAATAACAGGCTTTTTTTGAAGCAAGCGTAGCATTGGTCTTATTGGTCAATCAGATGCCATGAATCCAGTGACGTTTGCGCCGTTAAGAGAGAAATTATTTCGACTACCATCCGACCAACCTCATCGGCATACATTTAAACAAAACAAAAGAAAAAGAAAACGTTTATCAGCCAATCAAGTTTATTTACTTTCCACTGCTTACTGAACCATGACCTACTGAATGAAATAATATTCTTCATCCAACCAAAAAGGGATAAGTCGATAAAAATACGATAGACCGTTTTCGTATGATGACTTAGTTAAGACTTAGCAATTGCTTTTGAAAAAGAAAGCAACAATAATTGTTCAGGAAACGATAGAACATTTCTCGTACGAAACGATATCGTATTTCTTTTTCCCGTTACTATAAATAGACCTGCGGCGATTGCCAAATCCTGATTGTCTGAAATAAGAGCGCGTCAGGGGTATTCCCCTATTTTGGCGCCAAATTTTGCCTACCGTACCGTCGAAGCATAGCATGGATCGGAATTACGATTTTTCGCTAAGAAAATTGCTCACTTTCCATTGGCATATAAAAAAAGTGTAAGCGTTAGTGCAAGGTTTTTACGTCGATAAATCCTCCAAGCATTCCTTAAGGAGATCGAAACTGTGCAAAATGCAATGATCATCCGGAGAGAGAGCAAACCAATTCAGTGACAATCATTAAAGCGAATTTATCACAAGTTTCATTATCTCAAGTTAGTGGTGTGTTTGCCTGTCATTTTATTTCTTCCGATCCATTTTTTCACTTGACATCCCATCAGCCGATATTCCATTTTATATCGAGTTTGGTGTACAGATTTGATTGGATTAAAAAAGGAAAATACAAATCAAAACAAAACAAAACAAAAAACAAGAATGAAAGCTTGTATTGATTATTTCTGTAAAAACATCATAAAATGGTAATATCATTTATTACCCTGGCCGTTGATGGTGATCTTGAGAAGAAAAAATCTGATACATATCATAAGACATTTTACTACCAAAAGGGGAAAAAATCGTCATACAAACGACAAACCGGAGAACAAAAGAGAAAGAAACTTGGCTAGAGCACACGCAAACAACGAGCTGTTGACGAAAATTGAAAATAGCGCTTAATCTTAATCGAGCCGATACAATTGTTTTTTAAAGTTAGTAATTGTTAGTTGAGATCTTTTCGAACTCGGTAGACTTCGTGTCGCGACATGAAAATGCGGCATGCAAATGCTCACATTCTTTTTTAAAAAAACTTAATTGATACAGTACATCTAAATCTAAATTCAGTAAATTAACAATCCCCAAAGAGGATTGTCCAATCGCCATGGAAAAATGAAATGCAGAATCAGCTCAAAAAATCAGAAAATAACAATAAACAACAAAAACAAACAAAATCATACACCAAAGCATTTATGGGTCTTCTGTGCATTTCTCGTAAAATTAAGATTAATCCAACAACTGATCACTTAACACATTTTTTCAAGCATTTACTCTCTTTCCATCATGATAAATCAAAACATTAGCTGGGACGACCTATGATCTTATAGTAATGTTTTGATTCGCGTGCTTTCAACATCATCCATACAAAGACGTTAAGGAAGACATGATCACGAAGAAGTCTGGAGCGTGGGTGAAACGTAAAACAAATGGAAGATTCCCTCGCTGTCTCATCGTTCACGAACGTTTTTTCTTTCATTCAGTAGCTGTTTTTCCAGATATACGAACGAACAATCAAAGGCAAGAGAAAGCATCCTTCTTTAGAACTTTCCTAAATTTCATCAAGAGTGCCCTTTGAAGCTAAAAAAACTATTTTCGTGACAAAAGAACGTTCCTTTAGGACGCCATGGCGAAGTTCGTGGTGCGGTAATAATTCAATCAGCTGACGAAAATTCTTGCACTTTACCGCCGCGTCACTTATCACTAGCCAATCAGCGCTCGTCTATAGTGGAAGAGAGGGCTGATTTGATTGGCGTGGCTAGTGCATGGGGGGTCGTGTTGTCCGCGCAAGGCTATTGCATATCTCTAGCATGGCGGCATGCTACGGGCTCAGAGAGTACTGAAATTCCCCTTCTCAGAGACTTTTAAACACTTGCATGAAGAAACAAAATTGTGTTGCCTCTGAGACAAAGTTATCAACTTTCGATGAAAATCGTTCCCGAAGTCGAGATCGTTTCAGGGAATTGGTTATGTGCGATGAATTCAATTGTCGTTTTGCGTTTGTAGCTTCTTGACTGCGTTCGACCTGACGCGTTAGTGAGTTGCAAAGGCGGAGCATATCTGTTCTGGAAAGGGTAGTGGATTGCGTTGGACTAAATTTACCACAACCTCCTGGAATCTTGACGGTGTTTGCAGGACTGCTTTCTAAAAGACATGTCCGGTGAGTGAAAGTTGTTGTGTTGTAGACTTGCATACGATGACGTGCTGTACTGTAAGTCCGCGTATGAACTTCAATTGTATTTTTACTCCCTCATATTCGTGCTCTAAAGTTACCCTCCTCATGAACTGCTAAAGCCCCCTTTACCGTTGACTTTTGTCCCAGATTGCTGCTTTTTGAGCCCGATAATTTTTTTTCTTCCATGTTTTGCATTCGTATGTACCAGTCTAAGGGACGCCATTTTGTGATGAAGTCCAAAGATTGTGGCGCGTTCCATCTGAAACTCTAAATTCTCTCCTACACTATACGAGGACACGCGAGTTAACGGTGAAGAAATAAAGTGTTGGTCTCTTCTTTATTATCGAAATGATGAAAGGCTTTCTCGCCGTACCTTTAAATTCGAAAAACTACTGTCGCTTCGTTATCTTTCCTTTTAACCCAACCGCGGCCATTCATGTGTTATGTTGCCAATAACAGTTGATTTTTTATTCGATGGGCGTAACATACTGTTCAGGATTGGAACATGTGTAGAAGAAAAAAGTGCTTCTAGTCAAGTACTCCAGGCTAACGTTTTTCATGGATGAAATACACGAGAAACTTACGATTCTTCAAATGTGAACAAAGGCACGAACCAATAGTTCTAGCGATATGAATAATTACTGCCAATGACATAAGATGGCCGATGCACGGTCGGTGAAAAATCGAAAAAGATGATATCATTTTAGTGCGCGAATTTTATTTTGCATTAGGAACTGGTCAGTTTTAGGTTAATGTCTACTGCATTGCGTGTATCCGCATAGATATGCACTTCGTTGAAATGTTCTTCATCCATTTACCGAGAGAAACATCTGCGTTCTTAGCGATTTTGTATTATTTATGAATGTTCATTTGTTGTTCTATCGGAGTTCCCCCAGCCACGGTTGAAATCTACAACCCCAGGATTTAGTGTCAGTTTCAAATTGGAAATCTACCAATAATGATATGCATTTCTCCGTGCTTGCTTGTAAATTGTCGGCGAGGCTTCAGTTCATATGATTCGTAGTATTTACCATGACGCATGCAAGCCATCAGCTGAGGCTAGCGTTCGATGAGCGAAAACAACAGAAACAGTCTTAATCGTAAAAATTTGGAGGTGGTTAATTTTGCTCAAAAGTTATCCATCAGGTCGACAACGCCTTGCAAGCGCTGGGTCACTATGGAGGTGAAATGATCGCCACATGTGCTGTAAAATATAACTTCCCCCAATTCAAGTTCCGAAGAAGATCTCCGTTTGTTAACTTGTTGTCTTCGATTTTCAGGACGAACCAAAAGAGGCCCTGGTAGACCTAGAACCTCAGACAGCGCGGTGAGTCATTTGACATTTTAGGAATTTTTAGAAAGATACAGTGGTCCATCCGACAACTAACCTTTGAGATATTTTACCATGATTTGTATTTCCTATAATGGATCTTTTGTCGCCCTCCAAGCGTTGCCTTAGTGAGTCTCTTCCTGCTTGCATTTCAATTTTTTGGGGTAATTGCCAGTGCTAGTGAATTTGTTATCCTTTTTAGAGCCTTGATTACAGCTGTAGATTCCAGATTCTATCATTGTTAGAAAAGCAATGTAATGAGCTCCTGTAGGAAATAGCTCATATATATATATATATAGCTGGTAAATGATCCTCGACTTTCTAGCTGCATGGAAGGTGATGTTATGCTTTTGGGTAGTTTGGAGAAACTTTTCTTATTTGCTTCTTAAATTTGCTGCTAATTTTCATTCAGCCATTTCAAGAATCAGATATTTTTTTATATCCATGCTGGTGTTTGCAGCTGTTTTTTCCTTTTAGGCTTCTATTTCATAAGTAATATTGCTACTCCCAGTAAATTAGGGGAAATAGGCTTAAAGTATTTCCTGTTGAGGTTTCATAGGTGACTGCAAGTACGTTGTTAGGAGATAATGCACATATAAGAAAAATTACAAGTTTCCATACTCAGCATGGAATTTACTTCAAAATTTATTGATGTTCATCGGTTCATAAGCCAACGTATGGCATTCTTTCTCAAGAAAGATCATGACAATCCAATACTTGTTCAAGACAACAGGGTTGTGAAAAATATTATTGTCAGCTTGATAATCTTTTTGTTGTGTTTGGTAATTAAAAAAGAAATAGCTTTAAATATTTTTTGTTTGGTAGTCACAGATGTCTGTTTCCATTATGATTTGAAGATTTCCTTGTCATTGTTAGAATCAGACCATTTAAATTACTGTCAGACCAAATGAGTGGGCAGGCAGCAATTTGCTGCCTGTTACTCTATTTATCCTGTTAACTGTTGTGGAACATTTTGACTGAGGTGTATTGTACAGGAAGCATAGAGGAAGTAATAATTGGTAGTGCTTTTTAGAAGTGTATTGATTTTAGCTCAGGAAATTGAGGATGTTTTCCAAAAAAATGTTATACACATGTATTGAAATTCCCCTGTACATCTGCACTACAATTTTGAAAGGGTAATTTTTCAGAGAAAGGTCTCACTATGAGATAGATACTGTTCAACTGATAATTTTATACAATGTAGTTATTTCCTGTTGTTTACATCCCATCCACTGAATTAGGACCAAAAGCATGCCAGCCTTAGCTTGCGATTAATTACTTGTACAAGTCGTTTAATCTCAGACATAAACAGTGTCGTTCTCCTTGTTATTTGTAATTTTATTTACTTACGTTATGTTACTGAAGTTTTGTCTAGATTGATTTTAAATTAAAAGCTGGTTTCAATTCTTGAGATGCCCTTTTTCATTTCTTAATTTTATGTATCCTAAAGGTATTTTCATAATACATTTTTTCTGGACACATGATTTTCTTCACCTTTGTTTAGTGTTTGTTTAGTCTTGAAACAGGGACAAAGCACTATTTATGTACTTAATTTTAGGTTCTTCAGCCATTACATAAGTGCATTATATTTCTATCTCTTTTATGACTCTTATGCCTTTTTTTAGTAGCAATGTTTTCTTAATATGCACTAACAAAATTATAAAAAGATTGCAGCTTTGTCTATTCTATTTTCTTGGACTCTTTCTTACAGTGTATCACCTACATTGTAAACTACTTTAAGCCTGTGTTCTGTGTTCCACTACCCTTACTAACAGCACGTATTACATTTGAAGATAGTAAATGATAAGTAGTCAATGCAAGGGGACAAAGTTGTCTGGACCTTGCCAGAATGAGACTGGTTCCATGGATTTAAGTATGCACAGTAAAAAAAAGAGATGTTTAGTAAGTTTAAAGGAGAAAAAGGCAAAAAAGGTCAATTGGGCTGTACATTGTATCTAATATTTGTTCTAAAATATTTTTACTCCAAAACACCAAAATTTTCCCATTCAAATTACCATCCTCTCATAAGCGACTGTGACCACTTTTTGGAGAGACTATTTTAAAATTTTCCACTGTTTTTAACCTCCTGTTGGCAACCACTTAGGGCAAGGTTCAATCTGTGTGTAATGATGTGTTATTTACTACACTATGTGAAGAACTTTTAGTGATAGCTTGTAGCTAAAATGTTGTAAAGTAGAAATTGCATGGAGTAAATTCTCCTTCAAAAGTATAGTTTTTATGTCGGAGCCTCCACTCAGAAAAGGCCACATGTAATTTTATTCTGGGATTGGACCAGCCCCTGTAAGTGACGACTGAATCTTGGCATTTTAGGTGGTTGTAGTTTGGGAGGTTGGTGTGTATTTTTGCAGAAAGGAAGCAGTACACTTTTCAAGTTGGGAATAAGATTATGGATTGTTTGACTTCAATTTATGTAGAGACTTGCCAGAAAATGGTTCTAAAACTTTCAAATGGAGCCTATTGTGAAAAAGGTGTCTATCACCAGATTTCCTTATTCTGGCTTTTGTCATCTTTCAGTTGTAGTTACCTGAGTGTATAGATGGATATTGTCAAACTCAGAAAACCGTGAACACCTGAAAAATTTCAGGAATGTTGATTGTGTACTGGCCAATCACAATAAAGTTCAGGATATGCAATCAAACCTCAAACCACAAATTAATTAGCGTTGCTGTTTGCAGTTTAGTTATCTCGCACCTTATTGGCTTATTTCTTGCAACACAATAACATTCCATAAATATTTCTGGTGTTCACGGTTTTGTGAGTTTCACAGTAATACTTCCTTGCTTAACATGTTATAAATCTCCTCTTTTTTTGTTGTTACCTTTATAAAACAGCAATCACTGAGTCCTTATCCAAACTCGCCATTAACACCAGACTCTGAAGAAAGTTTCATCATGAGTATCAGAGAGGGGGGACGTTCCACTAGAGTGCGAAACAGAACAAAACCTCAGCCAGCCAAAAAGACCAGGGTCAATGCTCAGAGGTATGTAGTCTACAACAAAAACATCATCATCAACTACAACAGTCTTCATTTTCTTAATTTCTCGCTGGACTGACCCACAATGCAAGTGCAAGTTCACTATATTCAACTGTACTGTGAGCACTTACTTGAAGTACATGTAGACCCCCCCCTGGGGGGGGGGGAGGGGAAATTTGGTAAATTGGGTAAATTTTTGCTGGGTATGTGCTGCTGGCCTCTCAGAGCCCCTACTCCATTATAGTCTATTCTGCGACCAATTATAGACCCCACCTTAGTCACTTTTGGGCAAATATGTGATTTTTGCGATCCCAACTTAGTCACTTTCTGTTGTTATGAATTGGCCCATTTTTTAAACCGAGTGAAGAGCACTTTACTTATCACCTACAGCCAAACATTCTGGTAGGGTTGCTAACCGTAAATATGAAGAACTGTCTTACCCCGAAAAATCAAAAAATGTGTGACCCCATTCTAGTAACTCTATTGAAAATGCAACCCCAGTATAGTCAATCCAGTCGTGAATATGCGACCCCATCTAGCGACAGAAACACAGGCAGAGTCATCTAAACTTGACCTTGTTATTGTCTAAACTTAAATTGGTTCAGTTGATTAAAGTGACGGTTTATCTGAACAAACTTGAATGTTTCATAATGGCTGAATTCATATTAGAAGACAGGAAACTCGTCACAGACAGAATTCCGTCAGAGAAAATACCGACTGATAAGAATTTAAGGATGGAAAACCATCGTAGAGTTGTGACCTATCCCTGCTTTTTCAACCCATAGTTTTCCAGATGATACAGCCAAAAGCAATCTAAATTGTCAGTGCTCCAAAAGACATCAGTGTTTATTAATTAGAGGGGCGGATCCAGAAAATTGACAAAGGGGTGGCCGGGACACTTGCCAGCTATATAAATACTATTTATTCTATTAGAATTCTTTAAAAATAATACAAAATTTCATGACTCTCTTCTTGGGTGCCTTTTTTTTCCCAGTAACAGTAGCTAACTTTCTAGTTCCAGTCTTTTCCTTGGGTGCAAGTGCAAAAATTTCGTCTTGATTTTTGTGTCTCTAATATGACTTTGGCCAATTATGTACTTGATTTTGTGTGGAAAAAAAAAATGGAAAAAAGACTTCTTGGTCATTGAACTTCCTTTCTCCCACAGTGGAGTTTTTTTGCTTTATGAACCATTGTGTTTTTTTTATTTCTGTGTCTCTTATTTCACTTTAGTTTGCTTTGTATTTTTTTGTAGTAAGTTGAAATCTCCTATCAAATCCTCACCCATTGGTTCATGCACTGGGCGCACTCATGAGAATCATGATATCAGTATGGAACATGGAAATTTGATGGTAAGGAAAGTTTACAGTGATACAATTCTTGTGACCTTGCCAGAGATAAACGTAAAAGATTATCTGTAGAAGCCCATGAACAATTTTTTATATAATCTATATCTTGTCAGAATATTAAAATTGTGTTGATTTTTTTGTGTACCACAGGACATGTCACCTTACCCTGTGACTTTACATGGATCAGGACAATTGCTTTTTGAAAATTTAACATCTGATGCTGTTAGCCAAAAAACAACAGGCATAGAGGATGAACTGTAAGAGCTTCTACTTTAATATTAATTTTTTGCTGTCTTCATTATTAAAAAAGGCTTGTCCTCGTACAAGTACACTATAAGATTTGTTTTGCTAAGATTTTTGGAGGGCTAATTTTCAGACATTTATTCTTGTCTGAAACTCAAGGTTGTGCTCTAAAAAAAATTGAAGGATAACACAGAATTTCTTTGAAAACATTAAGATTTCCTTGTTGAACAAGAGCAAGAGAGGCTTGCATATGCTTCTTGGATGACAGTGGTCAACTTGACTTTTTAACTGTTCTTTTTTTTTTGTTTTAGAGCAAGGAGCAAAGTTTGTTCATTCTGCAATTGTGGTGTGGAGATGCGTATGTTTCATGGGAAGCTCCAGAGATATGCACCAACTCCAGGCTTCAATCCCAGCAAGAGACTTCAAAGCAGACACCAGCGACAAAATAGTGGCTGCGAACCCTTTAGAGACAAGCTAGACTTAGATCCTTTTGATAACAGACCTTGTGTTGAAGAGCAGCGCGAGCCTCAGCCTATTATAACCCGACGTGGTCCTGGGAGACCCCCTGGGCGGGGCAGAAGGAAGGGAATTGTCGTAGTTGGTTTACCTCTAAGATCTGCTAATCAGGAATTAACAGTTGATAAGACCTCTTTTGGCACTGTCAAAGAAAAAGATCTGAGCGATATTTTTGAGGTGGACGGCTACACATGGGCTCATCATTGTTGTGCAGCTTGGTCTGAAGGAGTTAGCCAGACAGATTCTTATGATTTAATAAATGTTGATAAGGCTGTTGTCAATGCTTTGTCAGAGGTAAGAAATTATCTTACCTACTTTCTTTAATACGTCCTTTTCAAGTTGGGTTCTTGCTGATACTCTGACATTTTCAGTTGTGGAATTTACATGTAGATCTTGCAACAGTGTATTATTGTGTGGAGTGCTCTTAGCTGCAGTCCTGATAAGACTTGGTGGAAGTTTGGCTTATTTGTGGCTATAAATGTTATTGCTTAGTCTTTTCTACTGATCTGTTGTACATGGGGGTTCAAATGCAAATATGTTTAATTTTACGTTTCCCCTGGTCGATTTTGGTTAAGTGTTGTGCTCATTTGCAAACAAGCTCCAGCAAAACTCAAATCCATTTTTAGAGAAATATATATACCACAAATTTTGACTGCTTTATTACAGATTCATTGCGTTTATATTTGAAATTAGGGACCTTAAGCGAGGACGACGACGATGGCAGTGAAAGCGTCAGTAAAAAAATTTTGCGTTCTTTCAAACTTAATCGCATCTATTTGGACGCGCTCAATATGTCAAATGCAGGCGACTTTTCCGGGAGTTGAATTCTTAAAGATTTTATTCAGGTTCAAAACGATGATGGAAACTTTGTCATCGTTATGTCCACGTCCCCCATAAAACAGCAAATTAGGAGGTTTCACATCGTAGTCATGTAGTGGACGTCAAAGAAATGTATTAGAAAGCGTGATGCACATGCAGAGCTGTTGTTTTGACCATTAAACCTATTGTTTTTTTTGAAGTCATCGTTGTGGTCATCGTCATAGTTGCTTAAGCTCCCTATTATGTCTGTCATTCATAAACAATGGCTAGTACAATATAACTACTCCAACATCCAGTCAGTGCTTATGACTGGATTCCAGACAGATTTTATGTCATCAGTATGGAATTTCTGTCGCTGAGCCGCAGACGTTCTTCCTCGCGAAATGTGCCCCAGCGGCGATGAGGGAGGAGAAATGTGTGCTTTTACAGGCCATTGTTGGCCATGTTTTTCACTTTTTAACAAATGGGAGTTTGCACTCTCATAATAGAAGATTGCTGTCTGCTACCCGATAAGGGCTACAGAACAGGACTTTGATTTTGATCTATGCTCAACCATTCAAAATGGAATTCTTTTGAAAAAATGATTTACTAATAAAAAAAATTATCTACTTACTAATTAATTGTTGACCTTGTTGTATTTGTTCTTTCTGCAGCAATGTAATCATTGCAATCGATTTGGTGCAAGTGTTGTTTGTCAGATTCCACGGTGTGGCAAAACATATCACTATCCCTGTGCAGCTAGCAGTGGCTCCTTTCAGGTTTGTCTAATTTATTCATTTTGTATATGTGTAATAGGTGTTTTTTCATTCGCATTTGTGTAAGAATTAATAATAAAATTATTGTTTTGTACATACTTTCTAGGACATTAAATCCATGACAATGCTGTGTCCAGATCACTTGGAAGATGCAGGACGTCTTGGTAAGACCACTCTGGGTTGCCTCTGTTTCTAGAGAATTGAATTGAATTGATGGTTTCAAACCTTTGTAAGTTCGTAAATAGAGTTTTCAAAACAGGACATTTCATTATATTCATATAGCATAGGTTCCTTTCATCTTTTAGGATAGCCTATTGCCTTTATTTCATTAGTTGTTTTTTCTATGTGCTCCTCTACATGAAGAACCACATTAAGTTGGTGTACTTTTCTTTTTTAATGATCTTGCAACAATTTTTTTTTCAGCGGGTAGTGAAGCAGAGTGTGTCCTTTGTGGTGAGGCTAAAGATTTTGCGGAGTTAATTTTTTGCACAAGCTGTGGCCGTCATTATCATGGTCGCTGCTTGGAACCATCTGTCGATTTGACATCTGTTATCAGGATGGGATGGCAGTGCCCGGATTGTAAAGTTTGTCAGGGTTGCAGGTTTGTTTCTACATTGTATTTTTGCAAACCCAAATTAAGTATGTTTTAGAAAATGCAGAATTTTTCCCAGAAGAGAAAAAAACTGACCTAAACTTATGAAGGAAGCTCGGCAATCAATTAGCACCACTGCCAACAAAATGTTATAACATACAGCATCACTCTAAAGGATGTTTCTAATTAGCACTTCTGCCCCTGAATAAGTGCTGCATCCTCCCGGTAACGTACGATGCAGCATTACTCTTGACATGATTAATGTTCAATTGGTAAATGTAGGCCACTGTGAAAATAACATATTACTCTCAAATAACTGTTGATAATATTACAGTCAACTCCCAATAACTCGAACCTTCAAGGGAAATTGAAAAAAGTTCGAGTTATTGGGAAATTAAAGCAAAAAACAGGGAATAAGAAAACAAGCAAATGGGTTGGTGAAGGAAGCAAGTATCATGCACACTTCATCTCATGGACCTTCAACAAAGCTTGATTAATTAATATACAGGGCTGGACACTAATTGAACTGGACTGAAAAAAGGTAAAGACAAAGAAAGCGCAGTTGTTTTGAAATGAATTCAATTTTTTGGACTGTGGTACCCTTTTTTTTTTTTACTTTTCGCATGTTTAAAACATGGTTTGAGTTACTGAGGGTAAAATTGTATAGAAATGATCTGAAGGGAAACAAAAATTACTTCAAGTTAGCAGGATGTTTGAGTTATCAAGGGTTCAAGTTACGTTCATTGTTGGAAAAAGACAAAGCAAACAAAAGAAAGATTATGTAGTACTGAATTATTCACAAATAGAAAGACTTAGTAAGTGTTCAATTTCAAGTTGGAAAGTAAGTCCCTTAATTATTTTTTTTAAGTAAATGTCTTCTTAAAATGACAGTGATATCTGTATTGAGTTCACATGAATGAAATTCATACCAGTGTCTGCTTTGTATGGGACCCTGCAAAGTGAATATAGTGTAGTACGGGTTTTTGTCAAAGACTGGGTAAATTAACTTTGAACATGAACTTTGCAGGCAACCTGGTGATGACAATAGGATGTTAGTTTGTGACTTGTGTGACACTGGGTATCATACGTACTGTCTGGATCCACCTATGAGCACTATACCTAAGACAGGATGGAAGTGTTTGGTTAGTACCTATTACTACCATTCTTTCATTGAAATCATGATTTTCAAACCTTGTTGAAAAGTGGAAATTTGGATTGTATTCTTGTGAGGGTTTGAAGGTTAAGGTAAAATTTGATTGTTTTACAAGGGGGAGGAAAGTCCGTTTTTTTTCAAATAATCATTAGATTTGAGAAGCAGAGGAATAAAGGGGTTAGTTTCTAAAGAATCTGTGGTGGTGCATCAGTAGAGGAATGGAAGTGTACAAAGATTTGGTTTTATTACTGAGTTGGTAGGGCAGATTTGCCAAAGCAGACAAGCTGATGTTTCAGTGCTAGCCCCTTCATAAGAGCCATTTTGCTCTGAGAGAGGGTTAGTGCTTAAAACGTCAACTTCTCTACCTACCCATGGTGGCCAATCTGCCTTATCAACTCTGTTGAGAAAACCAAATCTTTGACAAACAGAGGGCTTGATAGGTTAGTATTAAAGTGTTTTTGTGAAGATTGTCATACTAAGATTATTGTGGTAGTTGACATAACAGCGACACAATTCTGTTTATTTCCTTAACAGAGTTGTCGTCGATGTGAAGACTGTGGGTCAAATACCCCTGGAGGAGGACCTACATCACGTTGGCATCATAACTTCTCTGTCTGCGACAGTTGTTATCAACAGCGTAACAAGGGCCTGTTTTGCCCACTGTGTGGGAGAGCCTATAGACAGTTCACTGATGTTGCTATGGTACAGTGCCTTTCCTGTGAAAAGTGGATTCATGCCAGCTGTGATGATATTGACAAAGATGATTATCAAAAGTATAATAGCAAAGATCTTCCTTACTTCTGCCCTTCCTGCAAACCAAAGAAAGGTTCTCTACAGCTATTGGTAAGCAAGGGTTTTGTTGGTATAGAGTCCATTGGGCAACATTAGGGAACTTAAGAACCACGATGAAGTTCACGACGACGATGTCTGTTGACTGGGAAAAGACTGGAACGAGAACTTCAGTTTCGGCGGGGAAAAGGAAACTTAAGATGCAGTTGGTCAGTAGGTCGACGATGACGACACTGAATGTAAACACAAATGTAAAACTTTGATGTTTGTTCGCAACAAAGTTCTTCACAATGGCGTCTTTTAAAACAATGCAAGATCTTATTTTTTAAGCTTTATGTTTAATATTTCATTGCCGATGAAGAATTTTTTGTGTTATCTGACCTTTTCGAGTGGAAAAACACCTACTTTCCGTATGAAGATTATTCAACTTTCAACCTGAATGAGATGACTGAGTCCGAGTGTCTGTCAGAGTTTAGATTTGGAAAAAGAGACATTCTGATGTGATAGCTGTTTTCCATGTAAAGTTTATTTCCTTTATATTAAAGATATATGATTTGCCTTACCTAAATAGGTACAAATAAATTTTATTTATCACTTACAAGTTTGCTTTCTCGGCCTCCACAGCTGTTGTCATTCTTTGAAGTAAAAATACTTCATTAGTCGAATTTTCAATCAACATCGCTTGTTAGGAGAAAAAAGGAACGATACCTGGATTTATTAGGATGAGAAAATGCAAAGGACTTCAAAAATTGTTTAAAACAGTGGATTTACACCTGCTGAAACTTGTGGATTGCAGGACAACGTGATTCTACTTTGTTTGGCATAGCCAACGACAACACAATGACAAATGTACTGGTCGCGCTTGGGCAGTACACTGTAACTTACTTCTGGTTGTCGTCCTATTGTCATTATTGTCTTTGACTGTTTCTCGATAGTCCGGGTAATTACTAGGCCTAGAAAGCTGTTTTGTTCACATTTAAGTTCAAGGTTTTAATAATTTTGAAAGTTGTGTAATAAAACTATCAGCATGCAAAACAAACTGGAGTGGTGGGGAGATTGGAACTGGCAGTACCTTATTTTAGATTTTGGGCCCCATAAAGTGAACAATTCTTTGAGAACAGGGCCTTTGGGCTGAAAATAAAGAATTTTAGCTAAACATGGGTATCATCAAATGTGCTGATACTTAAAAAAAGGTGGTGGTGGAGAGTCTTTTTTCATGAAATGTTAGAATAACATTAATCCAACAAAGCTTTTTCTTGCTTTGAGTAATAATACATTCTTTGTTGTTGTTGGTGGCTTTAGGACAGGAATCATGGAATTGAGCTTGGGTTTAATGATCAGCAGCCAACTGATGTAGACATGTCATTTGACAACAATCCTGAAGAAGACAAACGCACATTGACGATTGCAGCTGGGTGTATGAGCCCTGTTAACATGGACGATGACCTTCTGCTATCTTCCAGTCTGGATGACTTAAATCCGTTACGACACTTTGATCCTGTGCTGGATGTCACTGACACAGAAACCATTCCAATTCCCAACCTTGATAACATTGAACCAGAGAAAGTTCAGTTAAGTGAGAAACTCCCTGTGCCACTGGATGAAGAAATGGAAGTAGTCGTAAAGCCCGACCATGAACTGGACATGTTAGCAACATCTGCTGATCTTTCAGACTCCTGCTCATTGCCTTCATTTTCAGTGGTTGACAGACATTTGTCAGAACCTAAAGCACCCACTCCCAGCCACTATCAACATCACAACTCATTTGTCACCCCACCTAAGATATTAGGAAAAAGAAAGCTGGCTCCTGGCAAAGTCAAGGTTTGTCATTATAATGTGTCACAAAGTTGGCAGTGGGTGTTTATTCAATTTGGTTAGTGCTGCTTATTTCCCAGAATTAATTTTTTCACATTTTTCTGTAGTCTAAGACTGGTGGAACTCCTGCACGGAAAAAGTCAAAACATGGTAAACCAGGTCGACCACCAAGCAAACTGAAAAGTAAAGCTGCACCTCAGACGTCACCTGGCAAGGAAAATGTGGTGAGTATAGTCTCCGTCTCTGTTTGGTTCAAGCACCCAGGAAAGGTCTGCAGTGAAAAATTACTTGTAAGAATGAATAGAATGCACAGAGTATAATTTGATCACTCACATTTGGAGCTTCAGTCACTTGTAAGTTGATCATGGGCATTTTGACCTTCTACCATTTGAAACTTGGGCAAATCCTCGCATGGGAGCAAGAGCCCTTTGACTTTTGATCGATCTCGCCCATGCTCCCTAACTTTTGGTTATCACTAGTTTGTCAAAATAAATTACGTGCTATAGTCATGTGCATATGTTAGCACTGGAATTTGTAATTGGTTGTCTTGTGTAATTTTATCCTTAGTACAATTTTATCTCTTTTTACAGGCAAGTGCTTCAAATGCTGTAGAGCAGAACAACAAGGAAGAGGAATCAGAGAGCCTTCACACCACCCTGGTGCTGTTCTCTGCAGATGATGAATTTACCTCCAGACAGGACATGTGTCTGTGCTGTGGCAGTTTTGGTAAAGATGCCGAGGGACAGCTAATCATGTGTTCCCAGTGTGGCCAGTCTTACCATCCTTACTGTGTTAATGTTAAGGTAGTTACAAACATTTACATTTACATTGGGATTTTCTGATCTGTGGATCATTGTTATTCTTGTTCTTTAGAAATGAGGAGGGAACTGGGACAAGTTAACTTTTGCAAAGACCTTTGGGAATGTTATATACTAGAGATAGGAAAAACAATGGACCAAATAGCCAAGCGGTCGGTATGTCCCCAGCAACGATCCCAGAAAAAATTGTGCGACACATTTTAGCTCCAGATCCCTTCTTGTTTCCATTTTCATTTCTTTTTAGTAATAATCAAGGATTACTTTGATCTGTTGACATTATATTTTCAATGTATCTTATATTTAATATATATTGTTTGTATTTAATATTATGTGAAGCAGTAAGGAAGGCTATTTTTCACACCTGAAACGGAGTCTAGAGGCTAGGAATTATGCAAATTATTGGTTTAAGCCTCAAATGAAACTGCCTTTTTTATAGATCAACAAAGTCATCTTGACCAAGGGCTGGCGTTGTTTAGATTGCACTCTTTGTGAGGGATGTGGAAAAGGAAGTGATGAGGCTCGTCTTCTGCTGTGTGACAGCTGTGATATCTCTTATCACACATACTGTCTTGATCCTCCACTGGGGCATGTACCTCAGGGGGGATGGAAGTGCAAATGGTGAGTGACAGGGCTGTCAATAAGGGCCAGTAGCCGGCCAAACAACCAGCTAGTTAGCTCTCTTTAGCTGGCTACTTTCATCTCCCTCTACCATAACTGCTAACAAAAAATAAGCACCATCGAATAAAATTGTTAAGTATCCGTTTCCCAGTTTTGAGATATTCTAACAGGTTTAGATCTGTGAAACGTTCGAACTGTGCGATACGTTTGGGACATTTCGATGGCATTGTTCCCACTCTTGTGTTTATTCTGACCAAACAAATACCTTGTGAAAACCTCTGGAAACGCCATTTCCAAGACTCTAATTTTCAAAATGTCCCTATAATAGATGGCTCGGCCCTCAAGCATTTGTGCCTTTGGTGCAAGTTCCAAAGCCACCTGCTATTCATTATCAGCCTGCTACTTAAAAACTTTTTGACAGCCCTGGAGTAAATGTGGAGGTTTCCCCTTGAAAATGTAGAGTAGGTGGCAATAGATTTGAACAAAAGAAGTGGAACGTCATTTACACAGTTTAGACCTGCACATGGGTATTGGATGGGGATTGGCCACCTACCCTTAGGAAAATATAGAATAAAGAATTTCAGCCTTAGTAGTGGCATCTTTATTCACCTTTATTCGGCTTATCTTTCGTCATATGTTGAAGTGTAATACAGAAGACTTATTCCCCTCTTAAAAAATATTTTGTGTGAGTAACCAGCACTTCTGTGGTGACTATATATGGCAATTTTTGCTGGCTGCCATACCCCGGATCTTTTGGGGAACACATCTGAATGAATGAAATTTCACAAGCTTTGCTTTTGTATCGAGTGCTTTGGAAATGTGACAGTTATAGAAATTTTTGCACCTCCTGCTGATCTATTCTTTCTTTTTGTCAGGTGTGTGAATTGTTCTGACTGTGGAGCTACAACACCAGGGATGGGGTGTCAGTGGATGTCAAATTACACTCAGTGTGGTCCGTGTGCCAGTAAAACAACATGCCCTGTCTGCAAGATCAAGTACAACACCAATGATCTCATGATACAGTGTTCACATTGTGAAAGGTATGTTCCAGATTTACTGAGAGGATGCTACCATATTCATTTTATGCTCATAAGGATTATTTGTCAGTTCTTGTGTGGTAGCAGGCACTATTGATGTAAGCTGTCCTGGTACTGGACTTGCTGCTTTAGGGACAAGTTGAGGATTTTGCCTGGAAAATACTTCTGTGAACCATGGCTGCCTTGGTAGAAACATGATAAATTACATGCACCTTGATGACACAGGAAAACTTTAATTCCCTAGTTTTCTTTGTCACTTTGAATATGTGTTAGATTTGCAACAGAAGTAGCGAAATTTTCAATGTTATTTTTCTTCAGCATTTAGGCATACATTCCTTATTAATACATTCAGTTAAAGCAGTGTTCGCCCTAGGTACTTAAGGCTAAGCGGATCACCTGGCTTAATTCACCAGAAAATTGTGGCCGCCTTGCTTAAAAACCAAAGATTTAACGGAATGGAGGCTTATATCGACATATGTCGGAATGAACCATTGTCTGGTGTATTTATTTGTGTATTTTCTCGCAAGGTATTGATTGTAAAAGTGGTTTACCGTTGGATGAATTTGTTCAAACCTGTGATGCATTCATTTTGTTGAACAACAGCCATCTTGAAATTGTTCCAGAAACACAATGGGCCTTCAAGGAGCTTGAAACATGGAGTATGGAAATTCCTTCACTTGCAGTCAATACAAGATGAGCGGAAGAAAAATGAGAAGCTTGTCAAAGCAAATTGAGTTTTTTTTACAACTCAAACTAAGTTCCCAAGTTGATAAATTTTTATTCAGGCTACAGCAGGTTTCGTGCAAACACTGTTTAAAATCACAGTCAGAGTACCCTCTGGCCTTCCCAAAATCCTTTGGAGAACACTGAAAAGACTGTCTGTTAAAGGGGTGTCTGCAGTAGTAAACCAGTGATGTTAATTATGTCAAAATCCTAAGGGTAATCTCACAGGAATGCTATATTGAAATCTGTAAATCTAACTTATATATTTTGTATAGATGGCTTCATGGCTCCTGTGATGGTCTTGTCAATGAGGAAGAACTGGATTGCGCAGCAGATCATGGATATCACTGTTTGTATTGTCGACCTAAAACCAAGAGAGCACTTGTTGGTGTTAGTGGTATGTCTTATAGAACAACTCCACCTGCTTCAAATCCTTTCCTCTCCTTCTTATCCTCTGCTGGAACTAAGTCATTGCATGGTTAGTAAATGTATCACTGTGCATCTCATTAAGATACCCTCTGCCAGCATTCCAGACCTTATGCCGTAGATTGTGTCAATAAATTCTACCAAAAAAGATTGCTTAGCCCTTGAATTTGTTTTAGCATGGAATTCAGTAATCGTGAAATTAGCCAGCCTTCACTTACTCATTTCCGTTGGAATACTGCTGTAGTAAGTCGTTAAAAGGTTTGTAGTTATATAAACCTTCTTAATGTTAGAGTAGAGGGTATTTAATCTCCAATTAAACTTTTCTTGTTTTTTTTTTGTTTTCCCCTTATTCCTTTGCCTGGTATTGTATATCTAGCAAAATGTAAGTTACACTGTAGGTAAAAAGCTGGGCCCAGTTGTTCAAAAGGTGGGCAGTGTTATTCACAGGATGATTGCTTTTCACTTCGTTCATTTGTAAAACTTATGTCCTGTTAACATCCCAAATTGTTGGGTTTGTTTAAGGAAGTTAGCGACTGTTGGTACTTTCTTTCTTTTGTTCAAAGGTCCCCCATCCCCGAAGGCCACAGTCTTGCATCATTACCGACCTCAGTCTTCACTGGATAGTGACACTCCTGTTCCCTCCGGCAAACCTCTGCATCCTTGTCAGAGACGAAACAACAATTTAGTGGAACTGAAGTTGTCTAGCCACTTCAATAAAGTACACATGTCAGAACCCTTTGTTGGTAACAATATTGAACTGACAGAATCTGGTGTACGGCACATGAACAAGCTGAAGCTACCACCCGGAGGCGCCAGGAGACGAGTGATCAAGAACAAGGTCAAACCTAAGAGGTTTGGATTACCTGTTAGCCCTGTCAAAAAGAACAGTTTTACCACAGGACACATTCAAGAGAAAGAGGCCATTTTTAACAGAACTTTCACTGAAGATGGTGACACACTCATGGCTAATGAAATGGAAAGCCTTGGACATCAACCTTCTTTAGTTCCTACTAAAGTCAGTAGACCTAGGCAATCTGGTGTTGGTAGACCAGGTGTTGGTGGCTTTGTGTTACGTGGTCGTGGTTCAGGAGGGAGGCGGCTTGTTGGCCGAGGTGCTCGAGGAACTAACAAGAGAAAAGTTCCTGTTCTGTCTATGCCAGCCTCACGTGGACATTCCCATTTTAACAATCAAGGAAACCATTTGCCACGGGTATGTTTCATTTTGCGTCAACTCCATTTTTAGATATACCACTGTTTTATTACTTCCACACAGTTAAGTTCTTATTATGGAATTGGAAAAATCTCAAGACAAAATGTGCTCTAAAAGCTCTTTGCTGTTACTTATTTAGTGAAAGAGCATTAAATCTAGGCTAGTGGTGGAAGTGTTGAAGGCAAAATGTGATTTAATTTTGAAGTTGTTTGAACAGAGCACAAAGTTTGGTCTATCTTTGCCATGGATCATTCAGTAGAATAACCGTTTTAATTTAATTTTTAGAAGTAACTGTTTATCTCTAATAGACTGACCCTTTTATGGTAGCCTGTGAACGGGTTCTCTGTTTGGGAAAAGGTGACAAAATTGTGAGGAGAGGGTAGGAAAAAACCTGTGGGAAAACCTTTGAGGTCGCTATTCTGCCCTCTTGTGTTGTAATTGCTGATTATCTGTCAGTAAGATCGTTATCTGTTACTTGGATACATTGGAATGTAATCAATTTGGCTCGTGTAAAACGGGAGTCGGTAGGTTGCCTAGTCCATGTACGGCATTTTTCCAGTCCCTCTCGGTCAAGTCACTTTGGTGATGTATTCAAGGCCATGGGTGGAAAATGCCTAGACAAAAAGAGAATATACATGCCTGCATTGCTTTTTGAAATTCAAGATGTTGTCAAAGTTGTAAACAGCAGGAAATTGTTAGAGATTTGCAGGATCGACTTTTGCCCACCGGCTTTGAAAGTCATGAGAATGTTATTCATATACAGGGCTCAAAATAACGGCCGGTCAACGGACCATGTCCGGCCTGATTGTGGGCTTGACGGGTCAAACTCTCGTCTGGCCGGTCATTTTGACCGGTCATTTTTGGATGCTTGTCGCTTAATGCGTTTTGCTCTATAATGCTGTAATTCGCTGCTTTCTGTGGCTTTTTTTGCTGCTTTGCACTAAACCCTTTAAAGAAAAACGTTCTGCTTTGCTGTGATCAGTAATGCGACCTTCTTTGGGAAAACATTCGCTAGCAATAATCTGTTATTTTTTAGAAAACTAAAGGATGAGTGACAGTTTTTGTCCATCAAACGTTTCTACTTGTAACAGGATTGTGAAAATCACCTTCGACGGGATTCGGGCTAATCGATCGCTCGTCCTGTACTGTTTCTCTGGGAATAAATTTCAGCACATTGATTAATTATAAAATTTCTTTACGTCGAACATAATCTCATTTGCAGACTTGATTCCAGAATTGTCTGATAAAAACTAAGCTAATCAAGAACGAACGTCGCCTATCTCTGCTATATCAGTGCTTAAAATCCTCCTTCTTGATAAGCCGTTCACTTGATAAGTGTTGCGCGACGACCCAAACGAAAGCTCTCCTGTATATTTATTGACTTCTGATGACAAATACCCTGTTTGCGGAACAAATTTCTTGCCAAATCAACTTCTTTGCTGCAAATATTTAGCGACGAAATTCTTCTTTGTGGAGGAGACTTTCGATCACGTGCCGGGCAACGAAAAGGATCAAGTTTCACTGATATGCAGATATAGGAAGAACCTTGGAGACTTCCGACACCGCCGTACGATGATGCTGAAGGTATATATAAACGGACATAAAATGTGCGAAAATCGCGGAAAGGAACTCATCAACGTGTGAATGAATTTTTCACCAACTTGGCGGCGAAAACTCGAACGACAATGCCGTACTGCCAGCGTAATTCGACATTCCATGGGCAACAAAGTAATTATAATATTCATTAATTTGACTGGCCAAAATCGGGGTTTGTCCGGGCTAAAAAATATTTGGCCGGTCATCATGACCGGCGACCTGCTGTCCATTATTTTGAGCCTTGATATAGTCGTGTAGTCCTGTTAGGATTGTTTCTGCTTCTTCAATCTCATCATTCCAACTGAGGTATCGGAGTTTGCAGCTAACGACCATGAGTTTTCAAAGTAAAAACAATACTTTAGTGACCCACTGTGTAGTATACTTGGAGCATATAGAGCGCAAATCTTGAATAATCAGGAAAACATACATTGAAATAAAATTCATTAGCTCATGCTGTGTATCGAAAAGTGCTGAAAACTGAACCTAAAAGTCAACATCCTATAAAGTTCACCGACATTCGCAGATTTGATGCCAGTAATGTGAGAAGCATTAAATTCAACTTGAATGCTGTTATCTCAGGATCATGTTTTGTTATCGTGAAAGAACACATGTTGTAACAACAGACTGAGAAATTATTCCTCGAAAAATTTTTATTTAATATATTTATAAACCCATACATTAATCCTTAAAAGCAATTCGCATAGCACAAACTTGGCTTGTGGATCCATTCACTCAGTTAAAATCGACTGGGCACATATCAAAAATTAGTCATCTCAAATCAGGGCGCTCAAGACAATCTCAAAGTGTATAAAATGTCTAGGATGAAATATTTACAAAAACATATATTTCCATTTAAAAATGATTGAGTGTAGAGTATAGAATGTACCTGAAAATTCTTCAAAAACTTCGCTGCTTGGTTCCGTTGCCAGTTGTGTTTCAAAACAGGCCAAGAACTCCAATCGGCTGCAATGAAAATTTCGTGAATTTTGAGTTCCTCGAAGGACAATTTTGCAAAGAAGAACTTCCCTTGTCCACTAAAAGAAAACTACCGGTAAGCGTTCTTTTGAACTTTTCCTTTCCATCTGTGTCTTTTAGCGGTGTATTTTTAACCTTGAAAGGTGAAACACTGGTCTTACAAACCACCGCCATTGAACTGTCCCTCTTTTGTCTTACTTTTGAAGATTTTTGTTTAGGCCTCAAATTTTCCCTCGGACCGCGTGACCTGAAACACTTCAGCTGCGCAGAATGATGAAACCTAGGGACTAGGCAAGGTCGGTAGGCACTTTCACCTTGGGCCAAAATGCTGCTTGTTCCAATGAATTTTGTTTTTGAAAGGTTCTATGTGTTGACTGAGCAAATGTGATTTTGGCGCTTGTTTCAAACTGAGAAGTCATGACACACATATTGATTTTCTACAGTTATTGTTTCCAGTTGGCATGATTTGTCCTCTGATGCAAGAAAAGCTCTTTATTGTGGTTAGATAAGGGTTTAAGGTTGTTCAATTTTCTCCAAAGTGCCTCCTGGATAGACTGAATAACTAAAAGCGATTTTCTTTTGTCTGTGAATGTGGTGGTTTCTTGCAATGTTTTGTCACACTTCTTAGTGTTTATTGCAGGATGTTTTAAAAATTCTCTCAGATAGTGAATCACAGTTCCAAATTTCGAAGAATGAATTGCATCTTAAACTGAAGCAACCTGTTTACAAGCAATTATTCAAATTGTGTGCTACGTGCCAACCAAAAAGGTGATGTCAATCAAACCTGTCAACAGTCAGTGTTCTCGCCGATAGGAGCTTGCATCAGAATCTGGTGTACAGTGGGTGCCGTGGAACAGTGGTCCTAAAGGGTGTTGCTCAGCCCTTCCCGGTTTTCCCTCTTGCCAGTTCCCCACTCGACCCAAGGCCTGTTCACAGGCTATTTTATAGTTGTGGGTTTGTACCCTAGCCTTTGAGGGAATGTGAGGCTGATCTTGACCTTGTTTTGATGTAAATCTACTTTGTTTTCTTATGGAAATTATGCTTGAAAAATTGTAGTTAGCATAAGAACAACATAGTTTACACAAGAAAGCAGGAATGTTTGTATCAAAGCAAGATCAACTCCAGCCTTTTTTCCATTTGTAACTATCACTATAAAAACTGTGAAATGGCCCAATTCAAATGCTTTGTTTTCTTTTCATCAGTCATTTACAAGTGGATTAAACAGTCCAACCAAACAGCCTTCTTTCAACCACTTAGAGGCCTCATTTAATCATGGTAGTAATGACAGCTGGGCAGCTGACAGTAGTGATGAAAATGGTCTGCAAGATGCATATCCTAAGTGGATGCAGGTAATCTACTTTCATGAAGTTAGTGAATTCCCTTCATCACATTAATTTTATCTCAGAGCATGTTATGAGAAATAGTCCTTTCTCAATTCAACTGTTTTTGCTTGTTTAAGGAGGCTTTTTTTGGCAAAGACTTGTTGGACACATTAGGCAAAGATAAGAGAGTGAAGCCTAGTGGCAAAGCAGTGCTTACCCCTGACCAAGGGACAAATAAAGACCCATTTGCACCAAGACAGGGCTTTGTGCACCAAGAGCAACAAGGCAACTCAGGCCAAGTCCCATATCCACTGGTGACTAGTGAAGAGCAGCAACGGACACTTTATCAGCCAGGATACCAGAGAACCAGTAGTCACTCTACAGCGCCACAGAAACAACACACAAGCTTGGGCTTAAGTGAACATGAGATGTAAGAATGTTGTAATTAATTGGCTTTTATAAAGCACTCTCTTGAAGTTAAGGTGTCCTTACATCTATTTCACATGTGGGCTTAGTTATTTTTGTGCTTATATGATGGCTGTAATAAGCCAGCAGATGCCATCAGTGTGTTAGTAGCCATTGATTGATAAATTTCACATAGGCATTTTTTTCTGGTGAGTTATTTTCAATATTTCCATGGTCAAAATGCTATTTGATAGATATACATGAGACCTGCAGAAACAAAATCAAATGAAGAATGATCCTCGCAGTTTTGAACACAATTTATGCAATTGTGGAAGAACCCTGAAGAAGATTCAGGACTTAAACAGGATTTGCACCCGTGACCTCGCGATACTGGTGCGATGCTCTAACCAACTGAGCTATGAAACTCAACATCAGTGGCTTCATAGCTTAGTTGGTTAGAACACCGCACCGGTGTCACAAGGTCACAGGTTGAAATCCCATTGAAGTCCTGATTTTTTTCAGGCTTCTTACGCAATTGCATAAATTGCGTTCACAATTGCAAGGATCACTCTTTATTTGATTAAAAAGCTTTTTATGATCCAGGGCAATTCTTACTTTCAGTGAATGTTGTTATGGAAATTAAGAGAAACTTGTTATGCATACAATCTTGTATGTATTGTTTGCAGCTGGTCTCCATCTCATGCCCTTAATCTGCCTGAAGAGGTTCCCAATCCTGATGCACTGTACAGCTCACTGGATATGCTGACGGATGATTTACAACCAGCAACACAGAATGATTCTCACTCTGCAGCAACCAGAGGTTTGTGTTGCTTATCCTTTTCTGTTTTTTTTTTCCAGCAGTTTACAGGACCTCTTTGTTGCTGTGATTTGTCACTCTTTTCGTGTCTTTTACCATAACTGCAAGCAACAATGCAATCTGCGGCTACTCTCACTTGGAGATCATATTCAATTTACTTATGTCATATCTTCTGGGTTCAAGCTATTTACTTTCTGTAGGATAAGTGTTACTGTTGGGTTTCTTTTAATTTGAGCTAACAATATTATTGCTTTGACACTAGAGTAGGTTGATCTGCTTTCTTATCTCATCTGTGACAGGACTTTCTCATACAACCTCCCAACCTCTGCCATCAACAGCTACTTCCCAACAACATGTAGCTCCAGCAGCAGCAGCATCTACTTGGAATCAAGCACAAACCCGTCCCCAGGGAAATGACCTGGATATTCTGGACACTGGAGACATATTGCCTCATGTTGATGGCCAAGAGGTTGAAGAAATTTTTGCTGGTATAGAAAGAGAGATGACAAACAGTGTGTTTAATTTTTTGGATACTGACATAAATGACAGTGTTGTGGTCAGCAACCAAGAACAGTTTGCACCTTCAGTTTCCAACTCTGCTGTACCACACCATGGTGTAGGTCTTCAGTCTGGTCAACACCCTGTGGCTGCTGCCTATGGCCAAGGTGTCACCAATCATGCCTACAATACTGGTTCTGCCCATTTCCAAGGTGTTCCTGGAGGGCCAGGATATCAACATGGAACACACAATCAAATTGATGGCTTTCCCAGTTCTGTTGTTTCAGGCCAACTTGGATTTGGCCAAAGCAGTACCTTTCCAAGACCAGGTGACCTCGATGACTTACCAAGGGAACGACGCAGACCGCCCAGTCCTAGAACAGACCCGCTAAAACAACAGCAGAAATGGGAAGAGGATGAGAAGCTTGGGGCCATGGCAACTATATCACCAGTTCTATACGCTAACCTTGAACATGCCAACTTGAAGCAAGAGTATCCTGGTAAGTCAGTGGAAATTGGCAGGAAACAAATGTGACCATAGTTAACGTGCACATAATGTCAGTGTCTTTGTGGCTCACTGAAATGTAGCATTAAAATGGTAACTCTGAGGTCATTAGTCCTGAATGTTTGTTGTGTGCAAAGCTGTAACAATCAGTTCTTCATCTAACTTTGCATGTGATCACAAGGAGCAGAAGACTCATGTTTGACCTTGATTCCAGTTTTTGTGATACAGCTGTAGTTGTGTAAATAAATGTGACTGATTATGCCGTCATGTAACAATGTTTCAAGACTAGCTGGACTGTTGTGGAATGTCCCCAACTTTGACCATCTTAGTAGGAGCGATCATTTTCACCTAAAAGGCGATGTTGTGGAAAAGTGAAGGTTTCCGAATGAGGCACAAAGTGTTAGGATAAAAAAAGATATTTTCCCTGTATTATTTACTGAAAGTGGATCCTGTGAGCCCAGAGCCCTTAGGCCTGCAGGATATTAATTTTCTTGGGTAAAGAAACTGTAATAAGATGATAATGTGTCTTAAGTAAACCATGGTCCAAGGTTTTACAAATTTAACTCCCCTGGCCCTTGTGACGTGCATAGCAAGCAATAGTATGTATCTGTATGTGCAGATGTATTTAACTGACAAAACCAGTAATGTTTTGTTTACCCTTTTAAACCTTATGTCAAAATTTACATTCTCATTCGTTGCCCCGAGGCATTCCTTTAGACGTGGTGGGGAGAAGTTGCTAACCTTGTGTGATCTTTTCCTTAACTATCTGACTACATTATTTTTCTAGTACATTGTTGTAACAAGGAGAAATGCAGTGTTTATCACTCTTTGGGCATAAAGGTCTAAGCCGTGCCCCACCTTCACCCAGCCACCACCCATCCCCGCAACCCTACCTATACCTGTAGTCCTTACTATACCTATACAAGTACGCGTATTAGTTTTATGTTATTTAAGAGGTTATTGCAGTGGAGTTAGTGTGAATCAAGTTACTTGGCTATTTAACCAGATTAACTGATTTTGAAACTTGTTATTTAAGAATGGGCTAACAGGTACAGAGCTATCGCAAGATTGTGGAGAAAATTGTCAGTGGAGCAAAGGGATCCTTATCGGGTAAGGGTACTTAACCCAAACATTCAGAGTTTGTTCTCTTGTGCTAAGTTAGCAGTAGCAAGAGTTGATGATACCATACTGACAGTATGTTTGGTCCATTAAGCATTTCTTTTTTAATTGTTTTTTTTTTTTAGCTGAAGGCAAGGGACAACCGTGTGCGGTTAAAAGATCAGGGGAAAAAGGTAAATATTACTAATTCAACGAACAATAAAGAACAAGTTACCGACCTGTTTGTAGGGTTTCTTGTTAAATTGTTGTCCTCGGCGTAAATAGCCTGTTCACAGACCTTTTATTTTCTCTTAACGTCCATCGAGCGTGCGTGATAAAAATAAGACAACGTCTGTGTACAGGCTACGGCTGAAAAGGTAAAGACATTCTGATGGTGAGGATAAAGGGTGAAATTTTGAAACGACACGTCCAACATTTGTTTAGACATCATGCCATTAGAAGCTGCTAAAATCATGTCAGTGATTTTGTATACATTTTCCGTTAATAGTTTGCAAATAGCCCACGTTCGATATATTAAAATTCTAACTTGACACGGAGGCTTTAGGGACAAAATTGCAATTTTTTCAGGACTCCATTGTCCCGCAATTCCGAGAAGAGACTTAGACACAAAGAAAACCAAACCAAATATACAAAAATGAGGAGAAAGCCTCGGAGTAACGTTAGAATTTTAATACATCGAACGTGGGTAATAAACTATGGTAAAGGTGAGTAGGGCTTTGACAATGTTGCAAAGTCATACGTTCTCTCCAAGGTAAGATCAAGTGTATTCTTGCAAGAGTTGTAGCAGTATTGTTGGATGAATTTATGTGCTCAAAATGTGGTACACCACTTACATTATTTTGCTGTATTGGAAATTGTGTTGCTATCGTACCGTCCGTCGGGTGTTAAGCTTACTTAGTAATTCCACGAACTGACATCCATGCCTTTTTTAATATCGATACCTAGTTCTTTTTATTGGCGCCATTGAAATGTCACAAAATTACTTGTTCATTTATTTTAGTTCGAATTATGTTTTACATATGGGCTGCTAGGTAATTCTTTCTGGTGAAAAGCTAGCTGGCTAGATCGGTGTTTGAAGAATCGTAATTCAATAGGTTTTACAGCGACTTCAAATGCAGTTTGATGTTTTTTAGCACGGCAGATTTGTTGACCTAGTTGTCTTTTCTTTCCCAGTTAATTGCAAGAAATGATGAAAACTCAAAAGCAGAAGGACAGAAGCCAGCTCAAAATAACCCTCAGCAGCAGCAACAACAACTTCCTTCACAAGAGCAGCAGCAGCAGCCGACCCAGCTGCCACAACAGGAGCTGCTGCAGCAAACACAACCCACACAACAGCAAGTGCAGCAGGTACCCCACCCCTCACAAGACCCACGCCAAAGCCATCAATACGAGCAGTATGTACCCATGCAAACAAATGTAGACGGCTCCCTGTTTCCAGTTACTTCTGTTATGCCGGTACCACTCACACCTACCACACCAGCAAGGTCAACAACTCCGGTGACTCCAGGCACTCCTGGAGCCATGACACCTACCACCCCCACAACACCAACTCCTACCCATGGTCAAGTGTTGAGCCATTCACAGATCGCACTAAGCCATCCAGCAGCTGCAGTGAACCATCCCCAGGGAGGAAAAACCGTCAGTTCCAAGGGTAAAAAAACTAAGGAGGAGAAGGAGAGGGAAAAGGAACTCAGAAAGCAACGGCTACGAATTCAACAGGAACAAGAACGGCAGTGGAAAATTCTCCAGCAAAGGAGAGCTTTGGAGCAGCAGCGTCAACAACAGCAACAGCAACAGGAAAACACCCTGCTAAGACAGGAGCTCCGGAAACAACAGCAGGCAAAAGGCACCAAAGGAACTGATGAGCAGAAGAAAAAACGTTTACCAAAGGGTAGCAAGCGAGCTTCCTGTCAGGCGTCAAAGGGACAACGACATGCTGATCCAACAGTTTCAAACTTAGGTCTTCACGGAGAAAACTCTGATAGATCATTTCAAGGCACTCAAGGCGTACAGCAACAAGTGCTACCGGTTGAATCTTCGTTTTCTGCTGCACCAAGAGCGAATGCTAATGCTCTTGCATCTTCTACCACACAACTTCAAAATGAATCGTCACATGATTTTTTGGCTCATTATGATGAGCAAAGGGATAAACCGTTTAAAGAAGGAGAAATTGACACAAGAGAAAGTAATTGCAGACCTGAAATCTCTACCCCAGTCACAGATGAATTACGTTCAGTGAATGCAGATGCTAGTCAGCGATATCAGGTACCATTCAATTGGCAAAAGGAGACCATAGAAGAAACAGTACAGCATACAGATAGAGCTATCTGGGAACATCCTCAAGGTCACCACCAACTGGAACAACCAAGAAGACCTAGTGACCACGCGCGTCAACCACAGGAAGCTGCAAGACAAAGTGTGTGGGACTGTGAAGATCTACAACCTGAAGCCAGTCGGGATCATTTGGGCAGCACCAACCTTCAGAACGGCACTACTCTTATTGAACAACACATAAGGCCCTCTCAAGAATCTCTTCAAGAGCAGGAACAGGTCGCTCATGGCAACTTCAGTTCTCACGAGCAATTAGCGTTTCAAGGTGAAAAACAGCAATCTTGGTTATCTGTGTCTCATGGTAATCCTACGGGGATACCTGTGACACAGTCATCGATGCAAGGTCAACAGGTTGGTGGGGAAAATGAGCAAATAGGACAGCAACCTTCTATCCCTGATTCGATTCAAGGTCTGCCTTATCCAGTACAACAGGAAGTGGCGTTGAATTCTTCGGAACAGCACCACCAACAACCAAGTGTGGACCTTCAGCAGTCTTCTCAGCAAATTGCAGTGATGCACTGGCAACAAGAACTGTCTCAAGTTCGGGCACAGGTAGCAGCTGCTGATCTCCTTCCACCTCAATCCATCGCCCCTCATTCAGCCGTTCCCCCTCCCCCTCCCCCTCCGCCGCCACCCTTACCGGCGTCCCAACAGCAGCAACAACAAACAGGACCGTTACAAGCCTATGAAATCAACACAGGGTGGCCCTCGCAGCAGGGACAAGTACCACCACCACCACCACCACCACCACATGTACATCCACAGTCAACTACACCTTTTTCTCAGCAACCTCAGCAACTACATAGTGCTTCAAATCTACAACCTGCAATTTCACAGATGCCGTTTCAAGCTGTTCAGCAGCCTCCAATCCAGATAGCACCCAATCAACTTCCTGCCCTACCGATGACTGTCCAGTCTCAGGAAAACCAACTGCATCAACCCCAGCAAGACGTGGCTCAGAGACAGCAGCGGGAACAACTCATCCGAGCTCAACAGCAGCAATTTTTCCAGATGCTTCAACAACAACAAGTGTTGCAACAGCAACAGCAGCAGCAGCAGCAGCAGCAACAACAACAACAGAGCACTGCAATTCAGCCAGGATTTGTGCGAGCTCGATTTAATCAAGTCGCAAACACAAAAGATTTGCCTGAAATTGATACAGAGGAAGAACATCAAGAAAGGTTGCGATTCCTTTATCGTCAACGCCAAGCACAGAAACAACAGCAAATGCAGATGCACGCGCAGCTGATGCAGCAGGCTTGGATCCAGCAGCAGCTAACAACTGCAAATGGTCAAGGAGTTATGCCTTCGGGGATGATACCAGTGGACACTTCCAACCCTCAGTTAATGCAACAGTTTGCCCAGCAGATGCATCCTCAGATGTCTGACGTAACACAACAGCAGCTGTTTGCTGAATATCAACGACGAATACAACAGCGCCAAGACTTAGGCAAACAAACGGTTCAGTATGAAAAGGTATTGCAAGAATTTCAGCAACAGCAAGGAATAGCGGTAGGTGGTGCCCACCCTACAGCTCCCTTCATCGAGGTTCCACAGCAGAGATTTGCTGTAAGACAGCCTACTCCAATGGTTCAGCCTGGTTTGAAACCTATTATCCCTTACGGACTTGATGGCCAGTTTGTGGGTCAACAGCAGCAATTTTACAAGATGCAACTACAGCAACAGATGATGATGCAACAACCAAAAAGTGAACTTCTCCAAAACAATACTTCCCAGTCTAGTCCTTCAACAGGAAAGGTTGATACACCGAAAAGTAATGTTGAAGCCAAGGATGATTCCGGTGAGTCACTTAACAGGTCTGGCTCTGTAGTTCAGAGTGATGCCATTAATGATTCCCAAGAAAATGTACAGTCTTCCGGGGATCACTCGCGCCAAAGATGTGAAAAGACGGAAACAGAAACTGCGGAACACCAAGACAACCTGAAGAGCATGGGTGACTCAACAACTGCAATGGTTCCTGTTGCCAGTTTTGAAGAAGAAGCGTCTGTATCTCATTGCAAGAAAGATAATCTTAGTGATGAAGGTAGCGTTGGGCATGACATAGAAGCTACTGCTGAGAGCAAGGAAGGCACCAGTGGGATAGAAAAAGAAACCTTGAATTCCTCAACGGGTACTGCATTTGGAGAGGGATGTGGTAAAAGAACCGGTGAAATTGGTAACGATAATGGTAAGAAAAAAGGTGATGAGGATGTTGAACATACGAAGGTTGAAGAGAATGATAATAGTCACGTTGACGAAGAAGTTGTTGAAAAGGAACCTTCTAAGGCGAGTAATGGCAGAGATGACCTTCCAAATGATACATCCTCTGATGTGGGGTGCAAAGAAGTTGCCAACACAAGGAGTTCTTCAGTGGAAGTAAATCAAAGTAGCGATGAAGCGCAAACATCAAGGTCAGACGTTGAAGAAATACAGAAGAACAAACTGGAGGAAGGTGAGGACGCAAAACCGCTGCGTCATCAAGAGTCAAAACTTTTATCTGGAGCAGAAACAATTCATGATACTAACCAAGCCCCTGCTCAGGCACTCCATGTACCCAGCCAGGGACTGCCAGTACCTCCTCCTCCTCAACCCCAGCAATTCATTGTTCAGCAACAGTTCTTAGCATTTCAGCAGCAGTTTCTACAAATGCAACAGCAAAGGCAGGTTCTTGTCCAGCAGTACCAACAACTGCAACAACAACTGCACCAGGCAGGAGGGCAGGATCCCGTGCTAGCAGCACAGGTTATGACTGTCCAGTCCCAAGGACAAGTTCTTCAACAGCAAATGGTCCAGGCCTGGCAACAGATTCAGCTGATCCAACATCAACTGCAGCTCGCAGGTGCACCGAACCAACAGCAGCAGCCACAGGCTTCGCAGTCTCAGTTAGGTTCACAGTGGCCACAGGGAGTTATTCAAGGTCATCAGATAGCAGCGCAGCCTGGTGTTATCGCTGCGAGACCAGGGGCGATGGCAATGCAGCATCCTTTGCAAGCTCGTGGATCACTGACTGACAAGGTAGGATATCTTTGATGATATACCATCTTATAGTCCATTTTTGCCCGGACGTTAGCCCTTTCTTTTACTGAACTGATGACTCTCTATGTCGTGGCTTTCTTGCTTTCAGGTTCTTGATGAAATACCAAAACAAGGTAGAGGAAGAAGCAAGAGTAAAGACGCGCCACTTCAACCTTCTCCCCATGGTCCGCCAAACCCAGGCATGGACTGGCCCCCTCCCAAAGCAAAACAGACTAAACCACGGCAGAGGAGAAGCAAGAAAGCAGGACCAAAAGCTGATCCTGATCTTGAGCTACAACAACAGATGCTTCAGCAACAGTTATACCAACAAATGGAGCAAAGGCATCGTCTTATGCAACAAAAGCAAGGGCTGTACGTTGAACAGGGAAAACATCCCGGGCAACAACCTTCACCTTCATTAACTCAACATGTAGTTGATAACCCTGGTGTGCTTGCTCAAACATCTATGGATATGCCGCACCCAACGCGACCGTTATCACACACGCCAGAACTGCAACAAGGGCTGCCATCAAGACCAGATTCGCAAATCGGCTTGCCCCCTGGGACAACGGGTCCTCAGATGCCCTCGGGTCCTCAAGTGCCCCTTCCTCCTAACATGCAAATTCCTCCAGGTCATCCACAAAAAAATGATCAAGGCTCCTTTTCTCAGAGATTCCCAACACCGGAAGATTATCTTAAGCAATTTGGCCAAAACCAGATGCATCAGAGGCAACCAACCGTGCGGTATGTAGCAGAAGCAAACAATCCCTTCAGCGATCAGTTTCAGGGTTTGGAAAACAAAGGAAGAGGGCGAGGAACAGAAAGGAAGAAACCTGGTCCCAGGAAACCAGGGAAGCCTCGAGGCAAAAAAGCAAAAGAAGCAGTACTTCCAGATGTCGACCCTCTACAACAGCAGCAAACGAGTTCTGCTGTTCGGGAGCTTGTTTCTCCATGGCATGCTGCCACACCATCACCGCTAGCACGGGACGTAATGCAAGAAAAATCAGAAGGCACAGGAGTTCCCCAGTCCCCGCAAGTGCAGATTAATATCGGGCCTGGTGATCGTCATGAGTCAATAAAACAAGAGAATCCCGATGGAAGTAAAGACGACAAAGATCAGGAGAATACAAAGCAGGACATTCCAGCAGAGCAGCACACTGAGGCTGGCTACGGCGCGCCGTCCGAAGGAGAAGTAAAAAAGGACATCAATGTCGCTGAGAAGGAGAGTACAGGTGACACGCGTGGTGTTACAAAAGAGGGGTCTGAGTCTGCTGAGAAGAATAAAGGGGCATGCAAAGGTACGGGGCTAGAAGCACTGCAAAGGTTGGAGTCTATGGTTGCAGACATGGCAAATGAGGAAGAAGCATGTAAAGAGCTGGAGAAGCAGTCTGAATTGGAAAGACTGCTGGATGAGAATGAATATGATCCTGAAATGGACAAGATATACGAAAGAGATTTTATAGAAGACACTCCGTTCGAAAGAAGCTTACTCTCACCTAATAAAACTGTGGGCAATGGATCTCAGGCTAACTCTGTGGCCTCTCTTGAGTGTCATGAAGAGAGTCTCATTTCGCCATTGTTTGAGGAGCCTGAAAAAAGAAAAGAGCGGCAGAAGTTTTTCGCGGACGTTTCGTGTAGTGAAACACCTCAAGTAGAAAAGAAATGTAGTGACGAGTCTATGGGCAAAACTGAAAGCGAAGAGCGAAGTAAAAAAGAGATTTTGCTGACACCCTCTATCGAACCATCTCTAACTCCTGATGTTGCTACTCCTGTTATTGATTCTAAAGAAGATGCCATCGAGGTGGTTGATCATGGTAGAAACGTGAGCGATCAAAGTAGAGATCCATGTAAGCAAGAAGCTATCGAGGATACTGTAGCAATTAGGAATGAAGGTTCAATGCGAGAATTAGGTTCACTTGATGCAGTTGGTAATCAAGGACCTCACAGAGAACTAGAGCAAAGTATTGGAACAAGAGAATCTGTGGCAATTGGGAGTGCTGCCTCCGAAGCCATCCGTCATCCGGAAAGTGCCGTCCCTGTATCTATTACATCAAGTGTTGGACCTTCAGTAAACGAGCTGCTAAATAGTGTAAATGGCAAAGACTTGATTGTTCAAGAATGTAAAAACCATCAGCAGACGCCAGGCGAAGCTCCTTTTGGAAGCAGCAGGGATGTATGTGCAGCTTTTCCTCAGCAAAATGCTACAAATATGAGTAGTTGTATTGTACCAGAAGCTGTACATGAAACTGTGGATCAAATCTCCGACACTAAGAAATACTACACGGCTGATCCAGTGCAAGAACCAACAGCAACACTTCCTGCTCGTCCAGTTCAGCGTGAGAAGCCTGCTAAGGCATCAAAACAATCGAGTCGACCGAAAAACCAGCATGGATTATCAGATGCAGTAGCGAAGAAGAAAACTCCTACAAAGGAGGAAGACCCCATTAAAAAGCAGTGGCAGGAGCTAAAAAGGCAGGAGTACGAGCGAAAGAAGCGCGAGTACGAGGAACAACAGAAGAAAAAACGAGCACTTCAACAACAACTTCGCATAGAAAAACAAATCATCAGAGAGCAGAGGAAACGGCATCGTATTTATATGAATCCCAGCAGCCGGAGCAAGCAGAAAACAGAAGTTGTTAACACTGCTATATCCTTGACGATCTCCACTGTTAACAACTCTCACAAAGAAGTCAAGCCGGGGACTCGTCTTTCTCTCTGCGAACCCAAGTTGCTTTTGACTCATGCCTTGACACATCCGTACGGAAGCAGGCCTTTTAACGGACAGTGTCCTTTGAAAGGGAACTTTGGTTCAGCAAAAATAGATGGAATGGTTGACTTTTATTCACAGTTTCCAATATCTGGGGTGGATGTTGTGTTGGGACATCCGCCGACCCCACCCTCGTCTCTGCCACCCTCCCCAGGGGTGCATCAGCATAAGAACGATTCCAGTGAAAAGCCTCTTGTAAATGGCGACGTTTCGCCTGAGCATTCTGAACGCGCTGAACTGCTTGCTTCTAACAAGGCACACGGTTCGGATAGTGAGCGGCCATCCAAACGGGCGCGGTACATGGCAGTTTTGGATTCTGCCAGAGGGGGCGTTAGTGTTCCTCCATCAATGCCTACTCCTCCTTTGTCCGATTCGGCAGCGTCGTCTGTGAACGATCGAATCGCTGACGCACAATCTTCTGGGAAACAACTTCTCCTTATAAGGTCTGAATCAAACGGTAAAGAATCCAATAGTAATTCTTCGTCTTCGTCACCTGAAACAGTTCAGTACATTGCTTCTTCATCTCCGGAGTCCGATGCACTCAATAGAATGCAGACTCCTAAGTTCTCAGCTTTATTACATCGTGACAGTACAGACTCGCCAACGTTTCCAGCAGTGACAATAAAACGCGAGAAAGTGGAACACGTCTTACAAAATGGTATATGCCCGTCTTTTAACGATTCCTGTAGGAGTATTTCGGATACTCATTTTGGTGAGACTACTTGCTGTGGGCCTAGAGCAGAGAACGATGCTGATGATTTGGACAATATTCACGTGTCATTGACATTGTCGCCAACATCAGACCAAAGGGTCACAGACACTGTGGCGTCAGTCGCTGCATTGATAGGCTGTTCTCCTCCCCGACGCTCGGACATTGTTATCGAGCCGGCTGGAAATACTGTACCTTCCAGTGGTTACTTAAAACCTACTAACAAACTCGGCAGCAGTGCGATAGCAGCTCCTATGGCTCACACTTCATCGGATATTTATCAGAAATCACCTTTTCCAAGTTCTCAAGTAAACCTCTCATCTAGCGAGGAAAAATGCTCGGTCAAAAGACCAGAAGGTCCGTACTGTCGTCACTGTGATGTTTTAATAATAGGTATTGGTATGAAACGTAAACCAGACGATGAAGAAACGGTACAGGGACTAGACACAGTGAATTCAAATGAAACAGCCAAGGACAACGCAGATTATAAAATCTACAGAGTTAGTGTGGAAGCAGGGGACTGTACAGGGGACATATTTTGCTCGGAAGCTTGCTTGAAGCAATATTTCGCGCATGTTGTTTCTGAATGTTCGTCACTAACGCAAGACTGTAAATCAGGGCTCAGGGTCTTGCCGTCTCATTCGGATATGTCTGTTACATCTGTGGGTCAAACGAGTGTCGGATCCGGTAACGTGACAACAGTTAATGGAGTTGATTGTCGGGGAGGAGTCGCAGCGGATGGATTATCGCCGACATCTTTACGGAAACTGCGAAGTCCTTCTTGGAAGGAAGAAGACCGAGATGACCAGGTTAGTTTGTTTTTTTTCCTCTTTACTCTGTTTCGATTTTATTTGATCTATGACCAAGAACATTTTTGTTTTCCCTTTATCCATGGATACCGTGTACAACATTTATTTAGTGAAAACACTACTCATTACGATGGACAATTTGAAGCTTCTGTAAAAAAGAATGATTCAAGACGTTGTGAGAGGTATAGCAGAAAGGATGATCCGAATTTCTATAGTGAAATACACCAAGAGTTCAGATCACAAGTATTTGAAAGATGTTGCTTTTCTTTAAACCATCATCAGGCCACTAAATAACAAGGAGAAAGTGCGTGGTTTTATGATGGGCGGGGTGGGGGCTCTCATATGAATAAGAACCTGACATGTTGCCAACAATTTTAATCTTATGTCATTTTGTACTTCACCATGAAGTTGTGAGAAGTGCTTGGCTGTCTTTTAGATTATCTGACATGTCTTTGTCAAGGTACACTATGTTTGGTACCTGCCTTCTTCAGTCATTTTCTTTGACTGTTTGTGAGGCAGATACCTTTGTAGCCTCTCTAGCTTTTCTTTTTGTGTGTGAACTCTAGAAATTCATTAATAAAAATTTCTAAAATACACTACCAAAAAACAAACAAACTGTTAGACCAAGTCTGTCGTAGAGGCGTACTTTAGGGATACTTTTTGCATCTGGAGAAGCCCACATTGGCATGTTCTACACTTGGGGACATTTACATTTTCGTGTAGCCTGAGAAAACAGCCGACATTTGGCGACGCTACCACTGGTTTCCCCGCCAAATGACGTCTGAGAAACGAGCGCAGAAATTCCATATTGATGACGCGTCACTACTCAGATCTGAGTAGTGACGCGTCATCAGTGTGGAATTTCTGCGCTCGTTTCTCAGACGTCATTTGGCGGGGAAACCAGTGGTAGCGTCGCCAAATGTCGGCTGTTTTCTCAGGCTACATTTTCTTTTTATCGTTGGTCTCGTTAACTCTTTATTTAAGACCTTTATTTTAAGGGACTTTGCAATTAAAGGGATTGTGTGTGTTGTTTGAACGAAGTTTTGCACTCGCTTCAAGACTTTCCACAATAACTGAAGCATATTTGGTATCTTATATCTTACTTTTATTATCTAGGGATGTTTTCATTTCTAGTCTTAGTGTGTCAAGTTGAACAGATGTTAGAACAGCGTTACTCTCTGTCTTTAGGGAAATAGTTGCAAACGTCAGCGTCGGTTACAGTGGAAAAGATGGCAGCAGAATGAAGCGGCAAAAGGTGGCAACAAGCAACGATTAGAACTTTCAGCTGAAGAGATAACGGAGGTACGTGAAGCTAATACAGTGTTACCGGTGTGTAGCAACATGAGCTAAGACCTGGAACAGCCCAGAGTTCCGGTATTCTAAGGTTTGGTATTCCGTACAGTGGTGTGTAATCGCCATTCTGTTTTCTAGACAACTGAGTAAATGCTGCAGTCAAAGGGGTGGGTTTAAGGCTGGAAGGACGAAGTGGACGTTAGAGGAGAGGAAGTTGTCCTTCTGTTTTTGACGTTTCCTAACCCCTCCCTCCCTTGCTTTTTTTAAGCAAATTCTAACTAGAGGCATTTAAAAGTAATTTGACACGATGTGTAATTCTTTGAAGCAAGTCGTCCCCTTTGGTTGGTGTACAAAACTAGTGACCTTTTTTCGTTCATGTTGACGTACAATCACCAGAGATTGATTTGTCACTGTCACGTCTTTTTTTAGCTTCTAGGAAAACATGGCGCGTTGAAGCCCTGTGCTGATCTGCCAGATGACAAGAGGTCTTGTACTTTGTGTGGTGAGACAGGCGATGGAGACAACAACGCTTCAGCTCGGTCAGTACAACATCTGTCCTGGGAAAAGGACTCCTACACGAGCTATCTCGTATACTGTAAACTACTACTAAACAAAAAAATACATCCGATTATAGACTCCTAGCTTTTAAGCTTGATTCAAAATCAGTAAATGAAAAACGTGTTTTTATCAGCACTGCAGTAGCTTGTTTCGAAGCGATTTTTCTTATCTGGTTTATATAAGCCCCCTAAGTTTTTAAGGACCTCCTGTTAACTCAGGGCTAATAAGCGGCAATTTACGGTATTTGACTAACTTGTCTTTGCATTATTTACTTTGAAATTCTGGAGCAGAATCTCAGGTTCACTGATCTGTACCAAGACTCTGTACAACATTTCGTTAGCTTTTTAAGCCGGTTCAGCTATCCATTAACCGACAGTTTTCAACTCGCTACCTGCCCGTTGATAACAGCACTTGGTACTGAAGGGTTATCCTGGATAAATATTCGATTATTGTTATTATTATTATTATTATTATTATTATTATTATTATTATTATTAACTACGGTATCAACTTATAGCTGTTTACCTGCAATAGCCTGTTTGGAACACATGCCGTGCAAAAAAAGAAGAATCCAGACATTGCTCAACTCGGTAAACCAAAACACACCCCCTTGATCACATAAACAAATATTAACCATAGGGAAGAGTTCCAAGCCAAGGTCAGGAGCCTAAGTAACAAAAAGACATTGTATCGATAGAAGCCGCTAATTAAAAAGTATCCGCTTCGCACTTCGATAGCCAAAAAAAAAAAATACCATAGGGAAGTAAGGTGGATGATAGCCAAAACAAGGCTAATTTAATACCATAGGGAAGAGTTCCAAGCCAAGGTCAGGAGCCTAATAACAATAACCGGCGCCAACCACGTAGGCTAGCTCTTACTTGTTATTATGACACCTTTTACTGAAGAAAAACAAACAAAAACCCATGGTAGTGTAGTGAATGTTAACTCCAATATAAAGTCCTTATCAACTCTTGTTTGTGGTTGTTTTATTTGCAGTCTGCTGAATCTCGATGTGGATGTGTGGGTTCATCTCAACTGTGCGCTTTGGTCACTGGAAGTTTACGAAACGTTAAACGGCGCTCTCATGAATGTGGATGTAGCTGTTAAAAGAGGAACTGTAACGGTAGGCTAATGACCTGTGATGAAACTATATATCTGATGAACTCTTTTCTCTTCACCAAGTGAATTTACCCATGTAAAGTTAATCAGTTTTTTCAAATTGTTTCCTTCTCGCAGAACTGTGTGGTGTGTTTGAAAAGAGGTGCTACCGTGTCATGTAATCAGAAGATCGGCTTGTCCAAGATTGGCTGTCCAAACAATTTTCACTTTAATTGTGCGATCACTCATGGCTGTGTGTTCTTCAAGGACAAGGTAAACTTTGTCACAAACCGCGTCGAATTTGCATAATTACAGGACTAAAATAATTTGCTGGTAAAATCTGAACAGTTGGTGTTGCTTGTTTTTTCAGACGATGTTGTGTCATGAGCACAGACCAGATACCCCTGGAATGACGGATCTGATTCTATCATCTTACGCTGTTTATCGAAAGGTTTATGTCAACAGAGACGAGATTCAGCAGATCGCAAGGTTAATAACTTTTTTTCACTTTGTTCCTTTCTTTCGCTGTGTCACGTTTTTGTTGCTAACCACTGAACATTTTTCCACCGCCAGTATGTTACGTCACAATCAGGAAACCAACGATAAACCTCAGACGTTACGACTTGGAAGCCTGGTAGTGAGGTCCTTGGGACAGCTTCTGCCACATCAACTGCAGTCATTTCACAGCAGAGACTCCGTCTATCCGGTAATCTCCCATGCGTGCAGTCGTTTTGTTTAAGTCACTGGTTTCATCCAAGCTGAGCTGCGCTTAGTGAGCGATATTAGGGATACACGGGTGTCGAAGGCGTTAACCTGTGTATATGTTTTCGCTAGGCATGCATTCCAATGCACACATGTATTTTAGAAACTAAATAAGAACATGAGTAACGGATAATACAACCCAGCGTGTAATCTCGGACAGTCCTTTTCTTAGTGATAAACGAGAAACTATAGCTAAGTTTTATTTCAATTGTCTATTCAAGAACTGTGCAACTCGCTCTCGAAGACCCAGGGACAGCTAAGCAAGACGGGATACTTTAAGATCAACGAAAGAGCATTTCGGCACCAAGAAACATTTGAATACTTTCCTTTTGACTCTTTGTCCAATCAGAAGTGATTGGCTGCCTCTGGGTCCCCAAGAATAAACAGAACTATTCATAAATGTTTCCAGATATGAATGTTCGAGTCGGGCAAAGTTTACAAGCTCTTCTCATGTGGTTTACTTTAAACTTCTACTAATTTAATACACGACATCCATTCTTTAAACATCGACGTGACGTCATCTCATTTGTTTTAGAGACAATTTGTCCTTGCAAGGTGCATTTTAAAGTTTTGTTAAATTATTTTTTGAAGACACGGTTTTCTTCTTTACTGAATTGTTTCTTGGTGTATCAGGTTGGCTTCAAGACAATCCGTTTCTACTGGAGTATGCACTCTGTGAACCGCCGCTGTAAATATCATTGTATGGTTGAGGATGCAGAGGGTATCCCGAGTTTTACCATCAGAGTGGAGGACGACGAGCAAAAAGAACAACTCATCTTTCGCGGAAAATCGCCAAGAGGTAAGCAGAGCGTGCTATGAAGAAGTTAGAAGTTACTTGTGTCAGACTTGTGTCAGATAATGCAACTGACACAACGAAATGCAACTTATAACAACTTGGAACAAGCACTCTACCTTGTATCAACGATAAAGATTTATTATCATGCCAAAAGTAGTAATAATAGTGATAAAAAAATCAGACAAGGCTAACGGCTTAATGCTACCGCCCAATGATAAGATCATTTGAAATACGACAAGGTCTTCATCCAAGCCGGCATGATCTGACCAGTTTTTGTAAAATACCCTGGTTAATGGTCCCGGCGCCGGGGTTCGAAATTGGGACCTTCCAGTCCACAGATCTACGCTCATCCAACGAGTTAACATGTTATTTTTTCAGTTGCTAGTATACTGAATTCTCTCCAAGATCCCGTCCGTTTAAGGGATATATACGTTAAAGATGTGTGCGACTGTAATATCCATGTCAGTGTTAAAATGGATGGGTTACATTAAAGGAGTTATATATAGTTAGGGACGATTAACAATTTTATTACACTTTGTCGTTTCTTCTCAACAGATGTCTGGCAACAGATTCTCATTCCCATTTTGAAAATAAGGAAGGAGGCGGGGCTGGTCAACTTGTTCCCAGAATACATCTCAGGAGAGGTAAGTGGAAGAGTTCTTACGTTTCATTACTGATGGGTTAACTACTTGTTGTTCTTGTATTCTGGTTCAGATCTCGACCTGGCCAGAGGCCCTACCAGAAATTCTCCCTCGCTTGTCCTGAATTTTATCCCTCAACCGTGCTTTTTCTATCCCGCCTTTGGGATTTTTAACCTGTTCTTTTGAATTAAACCTGCTGTTTCAATTATTGGTCAACCCCATTAGGTTTGTGCTTTAACATTTTGCAGTGTTGTGGGAGAGGTCATTTACTGTTATTAATTATTTTGTCTTATTTCACAGGATTTGTTTGGGTTATCAGAGCAATTTGTACTGAGGATTATCGAGTCGGTACGTGTCTTGGTGGTCGTTCACTACTGCTAGATTCTTAGTTAGTGCCAAGCCTGCTGTGAACCGCTTATTTGTTTTTTCTTGTTTTAGATGCCTGGTGTAGACCAAATGCAAGGATACAACATGCGTTATGGCCCGTCACCCATAATGGAGCTGCCGTTAGCGGTAAATCCAACCGGTAGTGCCAGGTCAGAGCCGCTATTGAGAACACATTTCAGGAGTGGAAGGTGTGTGTCACAAGCTTTGTTATTCGTGTTCTGTGCAACTTTATTATGAATATCGTACCCGGCGTCGCTTTTTTTTTGGCCTCAAGTCTGACCTTTTGAAGACAAAATCGCCAACTCGGCGCTAGATTATAAAGTCGATATAAATAAATAAGTAATACAAAGCTGAGGTAACTTGATTTGTCGCGCTTCATCGTAACCCTCATCGCACTTCGTACTGTGGGTACTTGGACTGCTAAGGCATTGTGAGACGAGCAAGCTGTCGCTGAATTTTTCCATCCCGTAACAGTCTGGCAGGCCAACCGGCAAATGTTGCTTGCCCGCCGGTTGTGCCCATGGGAAAATCTGCGGGAAAGTCGCACCTCTCGCCCTCCCTCTTCAGCGAGAACTAGTGTATGGCAGGTTATAATCAACGTTTTCATTTTTTTTGTCCACAGAGCTCGCGCCCTTCGGTCTGCTACCAGTTCTGGCACCGCGGTATCCCCCGCAGCCACGGTCAGTTCCGGAATCGCCGACGAGTCATCTGGTCTGTATCTTAAACAGTTCGTATTCTCCAAAGCTGCGCAATACCGCAAGCTAAAAACCGAGTGGAAAAACAACGTCTTCTTGGGAAGATCCAACATTCAAGTAAGTGCTTTGATATTCCGAATCGCTGTTAATGAAAGTTTGTTTGCTAGTTTGGGGCGGATACCTTCACAGAATATAATGCTGGGCCCCTTAGAAAACAAGGGAACTGCTTGCTTATTGGGAGTTATCTTCAAACACAGCAGATCTTCAGTCTAAATATTTTATTCCTCACGGGGGCATTTTCTTGTGAGGGCAAGTTTTAAGATGGTTTGAAATAAAAATCGGCGTAGTAATGTCGCGTCTTTGAATATTAAGTTTCGTTTGTTTGCAGGGCTTAGGACTTTTTGCGAACAAGGACATGGAAGGGGTGAGTTTAAGATGTTTTTTCGTCATAGCGATTTACGTACTTTGCAGCACTTGATTTGCGATCCTTATTAGCACCTGTTAACGTGGAAGGAAGGCAACCCTCCCAGAACGTGAAAAGAATGTCTTATGCGCTTTTCACCCAATCACAAGTGAGACAACTTGAGGACAAGAAAAGTCATCTTGCTCAGTGTAACCAGACAGTCTAGGGTCTAGTGTAGTGTGATCCTCTCGTCAGGGTAACTCGATCTACCTCGTGTTAACCCGCGGGCAATCCCGGAAAATCTGTGGATACCCTCTTTCCTTGTAAACAGACCATAACACAACTTACACTAGCACACTGTTGTTGTGGCTGTTTGGTAATAACGACCTTTAGGTTAGTCGTCGAGTACAAGTAAGAGTTAAGAATTTCGAGCTAATTTTATCTCGTGAACTATAACTATATGACAAGCACAAAAATGAACGTGCAGGATGAGATTGAGGCACACGAATTTGGTTTGACAACGGCTACTTGTGCTAAATCCAATCTTAAGGTCGCTTATGTCGATGTTGTTCCTTTTTTGGTCGTGTCAACAGGGAAGTATGGTCATCGAGTACATTGGCTCTATCATACGAAACGAAGTGGCCAACAGAAGAGAGCAAATCTACGAGAAGCAGGTAACGTTTGTGCGAAAACGTTTTTAATTGCAATGTTTGTGAGTGTGTCATTTTGCCGTCAAGATTTTATGGTCGTTGCGCAACTGCTAAATCTCAAACTTGAGTTCATGGAAAACTCAGTCAAGAAACTCGCCAAGAAAAAGCAAAAGAATCAAGCGTTTAATGAGTATCTTTATATCTGATACAGACAGGCCTAAACTTAACATCCAATCTTCCTAGCCCCCATATCTAAATACCCTATTTTTACTTAATTTCGCGTATATTATTTCGCGGGATTATATTTTTTTGGCCATCTCAATTGGGCAACTATGGTTAAAAGGCTTTAAATATCGCGATTCAAACGTTCTCACTCAACTTCGTTTTAGTTTGCAAAAAGTCTGAACTTTTAAAATTTCTCTCTAAACTTGAACAACAAAAATGCATGTTTAAAAAGGAACTCTTAATACACGAAGAAGCAAAACGTGTATTTGGAAAATTAACTTTAAATGTGTTAACGTTATTTCAAAACGGAAGATGCAAAATGAAACTAACCTGCACTGATTTGTGTGTTTGTCGATACATATGCTGTGTATGTTCAGTTGTTATGTTACATGTTAATCTTTTTTTTCAGTCATTTTATGGGTATTAAATTTAGCGAGGATTTTTATGCGTACCTTTCATTTCGCGATTTTTTTACAATCAAGGAACGCGAAATTGAAGACCCTGCGAAAATAAGTACCAGTAAGATATTTGTACCAGTGAGTAGCAATAAGGTATTCGAGCAGGAATGAAAAGATCAAGCTAATGACGAAAGTATAAGATTCTTGATATTAAACTGAAACCAAGATCTTCTTAAAAGGATTTAGAGTAAGACGCCTTTAATACGACCACTCTCCGCCGGACAGTAAGTTCCCCTTCCATTAACGAGGTGATTGAGCAAAAAAAACTGAGTGTTCGTATGCAAGCCCCGCCTGACAAGAACTCCGTTATTACCACCTTTACTATTATTTAGTCCCAATCAAACCAACACTCGGTTTGAAAACCTTCCTCGTTAAAGCGATTGGGTTTTTGTAGTCTGTTGATGGCGGTGTATCAACAGGCTCACACTGCACTACTGACGTGTTAAGCAGTCGGCCGCAAGGAAACTTGAGATGGAAATACTGACCAGTTTTTCGTTTTTCTTTGTTTTAGAATCGCGGCGTGTACATGTTTAGAATTGACTCTGATGCCGTTATCGATGCGACAATGGCTGGAGGACCAGCGCGATATATTAACCATTCATGTAGTGTAAGTATTCCGCGACAATTCTTACTTGTTCCCGTGAGGTCAGGCGGTCTTTGCAGTCGCACGTGAAAAGGCGCCGTGTTGGGGGCTTGAAGTTTATAGAAACTAGTACAGCCTTTTGTGGCCTGGCCGCAGTTGTTCAAAAGGGTCCAGTGGACCACGCAGTTGGTTTCCTTAAGGGTTGATTTCCATTGTCGCGTAATTTTTATGTGCGTACGTGCGTAAAATTTACGTTAACAAATCAAATAGAGGCAATGCGTGAAAGGTCGCTCGTAAGCGTAAAAGTTGAACCTCGCTCAACGTCTCGTTTAAGTTCAGCACTTTTTATCTTGCGTTTATTTTATTTACGTGATTACAATTTACGTGCGTTAACGTGTGTAGCTAAAAATGCGTCAGTGGAAATCAACCTTAACACTTATCAGCTCGATAGTGATTTATCCAGTGGGTATAGTGCTATCCAACGTTTGAACAACCGGGGCCTGGTGCAGCGGAAAGAGGGGTGACGAAGGTCTTTTCGCCCCTCTCTCCCCTCCCCCCAGTCTTCATCGCATCCTCCTTTGTGTTATGTTCCAACACTGTTAAGTGACAAAATTTGCCTTCATGAATTCTACATTTATTGGTTTGCTGTTTTGCTTTTTCAGCCAAACTGCGTTGCTGAAGTGGTGACCTTCGAGAAGGAGCAGAAAATTATTATTATTTCCAACAGAAAGGTTGAAAAAGGAGAAGAGGTAAAGTTCAGTTTATTCCTCAGGAATGAGTATTATGAAAAACCGATTACTGGAATTTCTTCCAAAGTAGCATCTCACTTGTGGACAGCGCTAAACTCTTGATTCGTGTCCGTATATTGGTCCTCTTTTCTTTCTTTGTACGAGCGGTTTTTACAATCGGGAATTCCAGTTTTTCTCGCTCTTCAAAAACCAGCACCTTGCTACCCACTTTAGTGGCTCCAAGTGTTGCAAATTACTGCTAGTTAGGTATTGTAATCTGGTGTGCGTATTATGCGGTGTTTTTTTTTTTGAAAAAAAAAATTTGTTGTGTTACATCACTTGTCCTTTGGTACCTTTCACAACACCAACAAACTACAAATTTTCAAATTCCAATTCGATCTGGACGTTTAAAAGGTTGTTAAAGGCGTTCTTGGGAACTGCTGTATTAGGACGGTCGATAAACAAATTACATGGTTTGAACAAGACTGAAGAGCTTTTAAATCTCTTAGGCATCGATCCGGTCAAGATAGATTATTCTCTCTTGATCCGGCTTACTACCTCCGCCATGTTTCAACCCGTTCCATATAATATGAAGCCAAAACTTACACATCTTCATTTTCCTACAGCTCACTTATGACTACAAGTTCGACTTTGAGGATGAAGAAAATAAAATTCCATGCTTGTGTGGTGCTCCTAACTGCCGAAAATGGATGAACTGAGGAACTGAATGTGGAGCAATTTTCATCGAAATTTATTTAATCGTTATTTATTTAACGTGAATGTTCTACAACTTTTGGCAGGTACAAATCCAGAATTTTCTTTATACACATAAGGACAGCGGAAAATATAATATTGTATGATATATAATTAATCATGTTTTAGTTCGCTTTTTCAATTCGCAGAAGTGAATTTGTCATGTCAGACATTTCATGCCGGAATAGCTATATGCCATCCGAAATACGGGAATCGCTAGGTTTGTTTGTTTTTTTTTCCCCTGTGCATTTTTGTTTATTTAGGTTCACAGTCAAAAGTCCGAATAATCCCAAATCGATCCATAATTTTTACAAATTTTACACGCCCTTGTAATATTAAGTGCGTGGCTCATCAAATGTAGTGTATATACTAATGCTTTATTGCTTGAAGTGAGGTTTTATCATTGAATATGGAGAATAAATAAAATTTGCTTAGAGAGAGTATTTTGTGTGGTTTGTGTACTACGGAAAATCCTTGGTTTCATATATCGTGATGTTAGCGGCTCTGCAAAGCGTTTTATTTACTCTAACGTGATTTGGCCTTTTGGTTATGTTATATATGGAAAATCTTGCTCTGTTTTCCCCTTGCATTTTGCCACGGCAATTTGTTATGTCCTGTACTGACACCGGCGTTGAATCTCTTTTACATAATATGCAAAACTAAATTCACTAGGGCTTGAAACGATGTTTAGGTACATAATGCGCTTTCCGCTATTGTGAAATGGCTTGTTATCTCAAGACCACAAAATTGTTTCTAATAAGTGGAATAAAATCGTCCGTGCGCGAAGTAATAACCATGAAAAAGTGCTAAAATATTCTGTTCATTTGAAAAGCCTAATCGAGGATATCAACTGTCATGCTGTATTGGGTGCCAAAAAACAATGGACAGTAGCTTGTAAAAGCGTCCAACATCACAAAATAAAGAGCGGATGCTTGAATGCTCGCTCAAGCAATACATGCCCCTTGTTTAGTTACCTGGCGCCATACAAGTTGTCGCGATATAATCTATTTTGAAAGCGGAGAGGAGCAAAACACCCATCTTATTTGTGCTAATTTTTGGACCAACGAAAAAACTATTAAAGATTAGCTACTTAGCACATATTTCGCCGTACGTTATCTCCATACGTTTTCGTGGCGGTAATAACACTTTAAATAAATGAATGCATTGGGCTTTTCAAACGGAGAGGAGCCGGCCGGCCAAATTAACCTTGTACAGAATGCGAAACGGATTTAAATAAGAAGGGAGGATGTATCAACTCTCTAGATACATATCAACAGCTTCCCCGTACCGACTATGGACGGCATTGTGCTTAAAATGAAATAATTTTGGTCCTCGTTGTTTCAATTTAGTTTAAACTTTTACATAACGTGTCCATGGCCTTACCCATCAAACTTTTATCGTGGCTCTTCAAACCCTCTTTGATTGTTTTGTATCGGTGGCACCTGCACACGGGGCATTGAGCAAAAACACGCAATAATCTTCTCCAAATATTGTAAAGCACTTAGGAAATACATCTAGAAATTGGAATGCGAAGAAGAAGGAGGAAAAATATCTATTTCAGTGATTTTTTTTACAAAAATCGGGCGAAGTGGAAAACTGTCTTGTGATTTCAATTGTAGGCGTTATTAGAGTACGTAGCTTGAGGCCAGCTGGTTGTAAAATATGTTCTTTTGCGAAGTTCTCAAGCGTGTCACAATCTGACGCAGGTTTCTCATGCGTCGGACGCATTTCTCTAAATTGAGTAGTTATTCTTCAAAGAATCGAAAATTGGTTCGCGGAATGTCAGAATTAACCGTCCGTGAGGTTAAATTAATTTACTATTGCTTCGGCTATTGGTTGTTACAATTGTTCTGAGCTATTGTTGTTGTGTTCTGTTTATTGCTTGAGTGAAATATTTACGGCAGGTTTTCATTTTTCTTTTGGTGTTGCTTTTTTCAAGTCACGAAAGATACCAGCTCTTGAAACGGGTTTTACCGACAACAGATTACAACACTCCTCGTTTTTCAGAAACAATCCTGGGCAAACTTGGGACCTGTTTTTCTTTCTTTTTTCAGTTTCGGTTGTTTTTGTTTTTCATTGTGAAGAAGCAAAATGCAACAAAAAAAAACCCTTCTATATTGATAGTTTTGCCTTCTGGTGCTAGCCCTCCGTTTCCCTAGAATAATCGAGGACTAAATACTGAACCAAAAGGATAAGTAGCTCCATAATATGATCTGCTTTCCGAAAGGTCTTATTTAGGTTAGGGTTATATTCCTGCAGGTTGGACTTTTTTTTCTCTTTCTTATCGAAGAAAATTCCAAGCATTTGCAAATGGTGATTTGTTTTGTCTTGGAAACAAAGCGAAGTTTGGAAACATTAACATACAAGGGGCGACCAGAGGCCACCAGTTGATTCCTTGTGGATTTTCTTCAATGGACAAAGCTATGTGAGCGGAAATGCTTACTTCCGGTGTACGTGGTTAAAACAGTACAATTTATTCCCCATATCTGTGGACTGCTCGTCAAAGTAAAATGCGTATGCTTGCGTGGAGCATTTTGTTTAGAACAAATTCATTATAATGCTTGTAGAAATAGTTGCTAGTGGGTGAGCCATGTAAATGTTAATTCCAAAAATACGAAAAAATGTATTTTATAATATATGAGTGAAAACGTCGACTTTTCATGGTAAATGCCTTCCGCAATCATCCCCAGTTGCGTCCGCTAACAATTTTCCTTCACTCAACCTAGCTGTTTTTGGCAAAATTAAGAAGAGAAAATGCGGCAAGATATCCCACAGAGCCCGACGAAACAACATGGCCGATTCGATTACAGACATTCTCGAATTCCAGACAGACAAAAAATTGGCCGGCTAGACGTTACAAACGGAAGCGTAAAAACCTAAAAGAAGTCAACGACTGATTTCAGACAACATCTGGGGACACTACTTGTCGTCGCGTGACCGTCGAGGGTGCAGGCGCTTTGTTCCTCTGTTTTATCATTCTACCAAAAATAGTGCTTTTAATTAATTGCATGAAGGTCTGCCTTATTTTTGTTTTGTTCCAAAAGAGGAAATAATCTAGAAAGTTTGGCGCGTGATGACTGAAATGTGGAGGGAAAGTTGCGAATTGCTTTTTTTTTCTTTATGTAAATACAGCAATGGCACCTATTAAAATATATGGAAATCAAGTAATTGTTTTATTTGGTATGTATTCTATTTAGTTCTTCTCTGCTAAGTTACATAATTTTGCAATGAGTAAATTTTAACTGCACGTTCAGCTTTTCATGAATTCAGTTTTGTTTCCAAGGGATGTGTGGGTGTGCTTATACGTGCTCTCTGATGTGACAGGTTGATGATCTCTTAAGTGAAAAAAATGATCGATGTATTTCTTCTGGCTTTTTTATGAGCGCTTTGAAAACGTTATTCTTGGCGAAACTTAATATGTTTAAAGAGAGTACAATTTCCACTTTTTACATCTTTCTGACGGGAAAGTTAACTATTATATAGAGATCTTGGGCCGGAACTTAAGCGACGTAATCTTTCGTAAAACGTGTCCTAGCTCATAACAGACGGAAGATAGACAGAAAAGCACATAACCTGTACAAATGTTCATCACCATTTAGTTCAAGGCAAGCGCTTTTCGTGTCTTTAGCCATTGTTTATCTTGTCGTGTCAATCAAAGTGATTGACAAGAACGCGTGTTTTAGGATTAATTGCTATCGTTTTTTGTGAGTTGCTATTGGACGAGGTACTTGCAATGACATGACACTACTGGTTGAATCTTCACACTGTTCTGCGCATATGGAGTTTGTTTGGGAAGGAACATAGATGGTTGTTTGGCGGAGCAATCCTTCTTGAAATTTTGAACTATCGATGATGAAATGAGGACTAAAGAAGGTCTGCGGAATGGAAAAAAGCTTAGTGCAATCGGCTTCCCCGAAACGAGGACCGAGCTCTGCCGATGCAAACCTAAGCATCGTTTTGAACTTAATGTGTCATACAACTTGCCATCGCCAGGGAGGCGAAACTGAGAAATTCGCAAAGAGAGCCATTGAATCGTTAGTAAAGAAGCTGAGAAAAAAATCCGAAGAGCTAGACTCTTTGATCACTGCTATTACGACTAAAGGCTCTAAATCATCGAAATGTGTCACGATTCAGAGAACTTTGGACGGCAGACTTCAAGTGTGCGAGCGCAAGGGCTTTCCACATGTGATTTACGCTCGGCTGTGGCGATGGCCCGACATTCAAAAAATGGAGATGAAACATTTGGACTTTTGCCGATACGGCTATGACCTTAAGTACGAAAGTGTTTGTGTCAATCCGTACCATTATGAAAGAATCCGCAGTCCGGCAGGTAAGCTTTTTAGTCTTGTTTCAGAAGGTTTGTGCGCTGGGTCAATTGTGTGATGATGTCATGTAGCTGGCCTAAGGGACTAAGTGAACGCACGCATTTCGTGTACGTGCTCCTATAGCAGACGTGATGACAAAGTACACCGGATCTTTGGTATGTGACAAGGATTGAGGCTTGCTTTAATCCTTCTTACCATGGAATTGTCTATCATGAGTTTGTTTTCATGCTTGTGTCACAAGGGAAGCTAAAAAGCTCGATCGGGGTGATATTTTCGTAATTCACTCACGGACATTTTTTTCGAGCGGCATCGTCTCACTCTAGCTTTTTGCCTAAAACGTTATCATCCCTACTTCGACCAGAGCCTTTTACGAAAAATATCTTTGCGATCAATTCCCTGTGTTAAAGCATTTCGTTTATTCGATGGTACAGAATTCGCCTCACGAATTCATTAGCGATAAACATGTCAAAAAGCGAAATGCTAATTTCTTTCATGGGAGTGGGCACGTCAGTGCTTTCCTAAGCTTGGCCATTGTTTGGATAACGAGCAAGCGCCTATTTTGCATTTTTAATATCTAGATGAATTTTTGGCCGGAATTTTTGCGCGATTTTGTTGGGAACGTTTTCCAGACTTGGTTTCAGACGTGTCGAGCGTCGAATCACGTCAAATGACTGGCGATCATTTCGTGTGGGGCGAGAGAATTATTTTGTCTGGGTTTTGTTTAAGTATTATTGTTGGTTAGTGGTCATTGTCTGGCTGGAACGTTTCTTGTCTGAAAACGTCTGAAATGTCGTCTGCTTCGGCTCTAATTTATTTTGGGACGTGAAAATGTTTTTGTCGGAGGTCAGAGTACACGCGCGCGCCATTTGGAAGAAGTTTTTTGTATAAAAACGCTCTGAGAACAGTGAATGTGCATTAGCCAGAAAGTAAACAGGCTGGCTTATTAGTATTCAAAAACACCTCATTTGAATATATTTTTTATTTCAGTCTGCTTGGCTGTCTAGACGATAGCGTGAATTTTTCAACCTTCATGCGATCTCTTTAGTGCCTTTTATTTTTCAGGCTACGCGCACGCTATCGCGATCTTTGCGGAACAGGTTTTGTTGCGTGAAAGTCTTTTGAAATTTTGAATGCCATTTCTGACAACCTTTATTGTTTGTAATTGTATGACAGTTCGAGGATAATAAATTCGCTTCAGCGGCGAATTCTGTTGTTTCAATCATTATTAATTGCCACCTTAACGTTTTCAAAATTTGATTTTTTAAGGACAGAAGCTTTGGAAATATCACATGTATAGTTTGTGATAATCTTTCCGCCCATTAATATTTTCTCATCTCTTAACAAACAAAACCACAAAAGCCACGCAGATGCATTTAAATTGCTTGTTGTAATACTGTCACGTAATTAAAATTTCGTCTTTGGTCGAGCTATACGAAACGTCGCCATTACGTGTTGGAAGCTCAGTTAACTTGTTTTAGGCAGATGTACTTTCCATAGTATTTCGTGATGTTAAAGCCCAGCTAATTGTTAAAAGGATTTGATCTGTCGGTTTCTTTTGTGTACATCGTTCCACTTTAAACCCCAGGGGATCAGAAAAAGCTCAGAAAACAGAAGAACTGAATTGCAAATTTTGACTTCATTGTATCAATTCTAATATTTTAAAGTTTTTGGTATATCTAAGTTAAGTTTTCAGCTCACTGGCAAGGGTATTGAATTCATTTATTGGTGATATTGGTTGGTTGAAGGTCAGGATATCATGTTGTTTACTTACCTGCAGGCAGGCACTGTGGCAGATAGAGTCATGAATATTTTTACCCAAAGCATTTTTACCTTTGTTTTTATCTTTTTTGCAATAAATACTGACAGGTATTCCAATCTCTACTGCCTCATTGTGCTTTTCTAGATAGAGAAAAATATGAGGGAGTTGGTTCTTAAGAAGATTATAATGACTGAGTATGTCATTCTCACATGTTATTTTGTCAATGGCGTCTCTACACAGACTCCATGATACTGTGAAATCATTCAGTCCTTAAATATATTCGATTTGTATTTTTCTTATTAAGGTTTGCAATATCTGATCTTGCCTCCTAGTACTGAGTTGTTTAGTCAATATTTTATATGAAGTTCCTTGTTTTTGTGACTAAGTGACAAGTGACCTGTACTTTCTTAAGATTTTACTGGTAGTTTGGTCATTTTTGCAATAGTATCATTTTTTATGATTGCTTAGGCAGTTCCTTTGTTTCCTTGTCACATAAATAGTTAAGCTTTGTCAAGTGCAGTCTGTAGCTCCAATTAACTCCCTTACCCAGCCAGTTTTATTAGTGGATGTCCGTGCAGTTTTTTTATTTCTCACTGACACTGTTTCAATATGACTCTTAAATTTGAGGCAGACATATCAGAGTTAAGGCACAATTCTTGCAAAGATCTGATAGGCAGTTAGTATATGCTTAAGAAGTAAAGAAGGAAATTATATAAGCAACATAAAGCTGATGCTAGCTTGTTACAACATGTTTTTTAACAGTGGCCATGTCAAGAAATAAGTTAGTTGTTTTAAAAAAGGCTAGGAGTGAAGCTTGATTAACATCCGAATTATAGGTCATGTTTGAGTAGTGCTTTACACTTGATGAAATACCACAAATGTCTTTTTGACAGGAGTAGGTTTATCTCGATCTTTTTCCACTTCCGTGTGTGTTGATTTGAAGCACAGGAATCCTGTGAAAGTTGTGGCTTTCAAAACTTTGGGAATCCAAATAAAAACTTGCAGTGTAACACAATTAATGGAATATATCTTATGCCAGTCTTAATGTAAATCTAGCATCCCTTGGAATCAGTCCTGACTTCTTGTGGTCATGCCAAGTGTTAAACATTCATGTAAATATTCCGCAATAATATTGCCTACTTTCTTTGATTTTTTATTTCCATGGATTGCATATTTCCAGTACAAGAATATATTGTTTCTGTAACAGGGAAAGTCAAAGCTTTTTCTGCTCACTTGATTTTAAAATCGTCAGCGTACATCCTGCTGGCTGCTTTTGCTCATCGGCAAGCTAAAGACAACCAGACAGCAGTTACATGACTGTGACTAGACATGCACGTGTTTAGGAGTCCGACAATCAAAATTATGTATGATGATGTCATTCTTGTAAGCTTATTCATAATTTATTTGGCATTCTTAATACAAAACATGTATGCATGCAAATAGTAGCCTTCGAAACAACTCTCTTATTACTATTCAAGGCAAAACAATCCCTTCGCTAAGCTCACAGTGTCTACTCATGAATGAATAAAACAGATATTGCACATGCACCGACAAGGAAAAAAGGTTAAAACAAAATGGTAACAGGGTTTTTCTCACTGGTTAAGAATCATTATGAAATCTAAAACAAAATTAAGAAAAATCTAGAATAGAATAAACTTAGTTGGTGTGTCCATTTTAGGCAATGTCAAAGCAAGTCATATTCCTATAATGCAATTTAATGACCTTTGTCTTATAGCGGAAACGAAGAGAATGATGGATGGTATGGTGATGAGTGAAGTTTCAATGAATACCTCTTTCAAAAAATGAAACCTATACTGTCAATACTTTAATAAATTTTTGGAATCAGTATAATATTTTTTACAGTATTGGAGGGAGAATGGATGTGTGTCTTTCGTTTCTGTATTTGATGCCTAAAATAGAAATTAAGTGATACAATCTATCAACACAAGCTTGCAACCACTGATCCGTGAAAATTATGATTTGTGAACCAGACAATCCAGTATCAATGAAATAAAGTGTTTATCAGTAATGTTAGTACTGATAATCTAGTCGCCTGGTGCAACTTAAAGTGAGTCATTATTCTCACAGAACATGTATCTTTAGGGTTCAAGTATGGCTAAAAGAACATCGTCAGTGAATATTTTCAAAGTTTTGTAAACAATGATTAAACAGTAATGACTAAGCAGTAATTTTTGATGAATTTTGCAAATTATCCTCTTTGAAATCACGAAAAGCGCCCTATCTTAAATTGCAGTAACACTTGTCTCTTCTCTCTATATATTTGCGGCCAGTGTTATTTCAGATAATCTGCATGGTAGACTAATAAATATACTTTGTACTTTTGGAACAGATGATATTGAAATTGTATAATCGTAAGTGCTGACTGCATGTTGCCTTACGTATTGCTGATTTAGGGCATCACTCTCCATTAAGAAAGTTATACATGTATAGTTCAGTTTATCATTCTTGTACACCAAAAATACATGGCCACAATAACTTTTAATCCTGTGTCAAGTCCCCTAGTACAAGTGAGTGCAACCAGTATTAATATGCTGCTTTATTTGTCATAATAACATTTTTAATTTTATTTTTTTATACAGCTGCCACTCTTTCAGTGAAAACAACATCACCAAATTGTGACAAGTGTGCATTATCTGTTTTGAAAGAAAGTCCTCCTCAACCAACATCTACATATGATCAACCAAAATATTTAGAAGCGGGACCCAGTAACACTCTACCGGGACCCAGCAATATTCCTTGTTCTGCTGATCCCTGTCCAATCATTGTGCGTAATTTACTCTGGCATGCTGTCTTTAGACATCAGGGTGCTGATGCTGAGAGCTTTTGTCGCAGGGCCATTGAGTCCCTGGTGAAAAAGTTAAAGAAAAAATTTTATGAGCTGGACTCTTTGATAGTAGCTATTACTTCCAAAGGACGGCAGCCATCAAAATGTGTCACTGTTCAAAGGACAATGGATGGGAGGTTACAAGTTGGGGACAAGAAGGACTTCCCACATGTTATATATGCACGGCTGTGGAGATGGCCAGATGTACATAAAATGGAAATGCGACATAAAGAATTTTGTCAGAATGGTTATGACACAAAACATGAAAAAGTCTGTGTTAATCCTTACCATTATGAGAGAGTTCAACCACCAGGTATGATGAAACTAAGCATTGTGTTTATAACTTTGTAAACTACTGGTTAGTGAGGAATCTGGTTGCTTATTTGTCTCATTAACTGTTGTAGTGGGCAGGGAATTGAGAGCTGCAGGGGTCACGCTCAAAGTTGCAGAGGGAATCCCTGTTCCCTTGCCCCCCTGCCCACTCTTTATTGTCAACCCTGGATTTTACCCAGTTAAAAGAACTAGCACATAATAATGAAAGTATGGTACTTAAGTGTAAAAGCTGTTTTTTTATTTGAAACATGTGAATATTTCAGATTGGTTTAGAGCTTCATTGTATGGTAGTGCACACAAGTCACATAGCATTTCAGGTTTGTTTATTTTTTGGTTTTTTAACTTTATAGACAAGCTAGTCCATACAGCACTTTGGATATGATAAATAACAGCTCTGTATTCAAACATACTATCCTGTAATGAGCAGTGATTGCATTGGAACAAAACGTGAGGTGCAAAATTAGATGACAAATTTTCCAGACACACTTGTAATCTCAAAGTTACTTGTTGTAAAGCTGTACTTAAAAAGTCTGTTCTTTTGAGGGGAAATATTACAGCCAGCCATGCAGCTGGTTTTAATTACTGGTACAATAATATTTAAACTTTTTTCCTTCACAGAAGGTGATAATAACCTTAAAAGTGATGAGGTGAGTTAGTTGTTTATGCAAAATGTTTTTTAAATGAAATGATATGTCTGGAGAGAAGAACATAGAAAAAAATTCTGAGTTCCAGATGGGAATTAAACCCACAACCATCCGTACACTAGTTGGATGCTCTAACCACTGAGCTACTGAGAAGTCAGTGGTGAGAGGTCAATGGTGGGCTGACATAACTAACACATCGCTCAGTCACAATTTGCAAGTTTAAGCAAGTACAGTCACCTTATGGACCACACCCATTTGTGTGAAAGAAGGAAGGGTAGAGGGTAGGATTGCTGTTAAACCTTCCTTGGAGGGGATGGGAAGCTAACAAAACATAGAAGTTTCCAATTAATGTTCGATTCTGTGATGAAAGGTTTGGCTGATCAGTGCTGAGGCCTGGGTGATGTAATTCAACCTGCTGGGACTTCTAAAAAGTGGCTCTAAGTTGGGCGTCATCCTCCCCTGGCCATTGCTTAGTTATCTGCTGAGAGTCATTTTTTTTCTAAGTATGTTACTGTGCACACTTTCTCACAGGACACGAATGGCAGCTCATTCTCAAATGGAAGTGAAGCCACTGAGAAAAACAGTAGTTGTTACTGTACACACACCAGTTCTCCACCATCAGGGAAGAAGACAGAAGCCCAAGATGCAAACATCTTAAACTCCAGGGCAAAAAGAAAGCCTGCAGATTTTAATCAAGACAGGTACATTGTACTACCAATAGTAAAACATTGTCATTTTGATCATTAATATTATAAGGAGATGGTCTAGTTTAATTTTATCCTTGGTGCAAAGTATAGTTTCCTCCACGTCAAACCCATTACCAGCATTACCATACGTAAAAAAAAGCTCAATTCTCGATAATAACATTTAAAGCAAGCATAAAATTAAACAACAGGGAAAAAATGGGTGGGATTTTTTTAATGACCAATGCCCTTCCTTAAACTGTGTCTCCTTGTTTTGCAATGTAATTCTTACATGCACGGTCCATTTTTGGGATTTATGACAGTTACTATAGTTACCTTCCTGTTAAGTGACAATATTATTTTTAAATGGGTATTTTTAAACCTCGATTTGGTTCCCGTTGTTGACTTATTCTAAGGAGGCAAATTTGTTATTTTATGGCAACAATATAACCAACATGACGGCTCTTTGAATACAAAGGACCAATTTTACCCAACTCATCATCTTATTGTAGTGACAGTGATGAAGATATTGATATTGAAGCAGAATCACCCAAGAGGACTAAGGTACCCTACTCGCTCACTTTATATAATAAATAATTTTAGTATATACACACTCAGTGATCTTGGTGATTTAAGCAATCTGATTGGTTCGCTATCTCGGACTATTCAACAATATTCACCTCCTAGCGAGTGGATAATGTGTGAGCTCGGTGTTTTTCCCGTTTTTTTTAGAGAACGATCTTTTAAAAGTCGACAAAATCCTAGGGCTGACTTTTTTTAAGGCAAGAAAAGACTTGGAAGGATTCAATATGGCGTTTTTCAATTTACTGTAGCAGGAGTTTTGTGCTCGATGGATTGTTTACAACTCCCGTGTATTCGCGAAGAAGAAGCCGTTTCGTGAACTCAGCGTTTTCTAAGAAGAAAATTTTGGCTCAAAAATCGAAGTTTATTTATGACAAACAAATTTAAAAGGAAATGTTTGCAGAAATTCTACATTTCAAGTAAACAGGAAAAAGAATGATACAGGAAGACGACCTCTTACCTCGAGCAACCGAGCCGCCATTTTTGTCAGCACTTCATGCGAAGAACGACACAACATGCCCTTTTGGCTATAAACTTGGCGAGTCAACAGAAAACAACACAGCTCTACTTTTTTTCTCAGGTAAGGAAACAGTTCAAACTTTTAGCGATTCCATTGAAGCCATTACGCTGTTGTTTGCGAAATGAGTAAACTTGTGAATTGCCATGTTTGAAAATTCTGCAAAGATCTATTTTTAAACTTACGCGTGATTTGATCTGTCAATCAAATCCTACTTTTGAATGGTTTCCTTTCTGATTTTGTTGAGATCACTTCGTGTGTATATACTAAAACAATTATTCTTCTCAATCTCGGTGAATAGTGGCTTTGGGAATATTTACCTCGCCGCTTTCGCGGCTCGGTAAATATTTTGCCACTATTCACCTCGATTTCAAAGAATAATTGTTAAGTATCAATAATAAATTTCATCACATCCAGCCTACCTACCAGAAAAGATACTGTATTTCCTCAAATAATAGTCGGCAGTGATTAATATTATTGCTTTTTCAAAACAAATTAAAAGGGGGGCGATCATTTCAGATATTGCTCATTGGAATTGAAGTCATGCCCTAAATATTTTATTTTTTTATCCCATTAATTCAAACAAGAATAGCATCATATATACTGAACTTGGACTTTTTATAATTCAAGTGTTCCAAATTGGGTTCCTTGATTAATTTTCAATGTCAATATCCTTGCCCTCAGCAGCTGAATTGTCACTGATCAGTTTTGCTGGTTAAAGGAAAGAGAATTAGGTGGCCGGCGTGAGGGGTGGAGTAGTGGAGGGGGGCGGGGGGTGATAATTTGAGGGAGGCAGTTACTTTAAATATTTCCTTCAAAGGGGGGGACAATTATTGTAGGGAGGCAATTAATCAAGGGATGGCTATTATTCGAGGAGATACTGCAAATTTGTGAGTTTTTTGGTTGCTTAATTTTATCTTTTAAGCTTTCTCCAACTGAAAGTGTATCAAGACGACTAGTCAAAAGAGATGAGAGATCCAGCAATTTTGACAGTAAATCAGGAAGGTAAGTAACAAAGCTGCTGGATATTAATCTAATGACAGAGCCATGTGCTCCCAGTGGGGTGTGGGGTGGAGGGAGGGGGAACTTAAGGAAATTTCAGCAAGAGGTGCATCAGGTGTTGCTAAGGGCCTCAAACCCTGATCCACTTTAACTTTACTCCTGGAGATTTTGCTGAAAAACGCGTTTTGAAGCTAGTTGAGTGATTTTCTGGTCACTGTCATGCTATAAAGAGATAAAACTTACCACAAATCCGTTCACAGGTTGTACACTTCACAGCCTTCTGATCCAGATGCAAAATATCAGCTTGCATAGTTCGGGCATGCGCAGAAAGCAAAAATTGGGTTTAAAAGTGACACAGCAGTCTTGACTTTTACTTTTCGCTTTCTCTCCTCCCTTCTTTTTTCGCTTTTCTTGCCTCATTTTTTTTTCTCTTGCTGGGCATTTAGTAGGCTTCATTTTGGTGGGAAGAGTTTTTAGGAAAGCTTTTAGGATCTTAGGATTAGGTGAAAGGAAAGGTAGGTGGGCAATGGAACAAGATTTTCATGGAGATTTACAGGTCAATCTTACATGGTTTTTTGCCTTTTTCTCCGGTGTCCTTGACTGAATTGTGCTCATTCTGGTATGGTTTGAAAGATCTCTTTATTTTGCACAAGTGAGCTGACAAAGTTGCCCTTGATCGTTAAAACTGATGACGTCACAAGGGGTAGAAAGGAAGTGTATCCACACAGCGGTTATGAGCGGTTCAGGGGCGAATGGGTTAAGACAAATATTTTTCATTTCACTACCCTGTTTAAGACAGGAGACCTTATTTTGAGACACTGATTCATACAGAATTAAGTAATTTTTGGAACTAACATCATAGAATTAGATTTTATTGGAAAAAATCTGGTACCATAAATGTAGACTGCTCATCTTCAACCTTCCCACTCTCTTAAAAGCTTCCGGTTGGCCAGCAAAATAAAGACACCTTGTTCAAGTCTCTAAATAGTGAAATTGTACACCTTGTGTACGTACTTGTAAGAGTCAGCAATAACCTGAAAAGTATACCCTCTTTTTTTGGCGGCACATACTTTTTTAGGTCTAATAAGATAGTGCCCTCGCTCCCAGCCATGACCAAAATAATAATATTGCCATCAGTTTCTTATTGTCTAGATTGTTATAAATATCAAGTTGAGTTTATTATGGTCTTTGCACAATTCCTGATCACCATCTGAAGATATCTCCATGAAACTAACAAAATTAAGACTATCCCATAATGTGCTAATGAGAAATTTTAAAATGTTTTAAATTATTAAGTTTTAATGTATTTTTATTTCAGAGTACGCTGTGCTCTGTGCAACTGTGTGAATAACAGTTTATTGGGACAAGGTGAATTTATTTGTTTTGGAAGAATATCTGGGTTTCCAAAGCACTCTCCAGCCACTTCTCAGTCACACATGCAGCATTCAGCATCTGCGGCTTATTCAAATCTACATAACCACGCTGTTGGTGGAGGTTCACTTGCTTCCTATGGAAGAAGAAGTTCCCCTGAGTATGACTATGAAGAGCATGGGTCTTACTGGAGATACAGGACTGATGCCACTAATTCGACACTTCATCATCAAAGTCATGGTGACATTCCCGTCAGGTAATTCACTGTTTGAGGCTAAATACATGAATGGTGATTACAGTATGTTCAACCAGTCTTTTTCTGTGGTATTAGTTTACCAATTAAGGGGTGACATTCTCAAAATCGTGGAAGCATTGTAAAGGTCTGTTGTGTTCCCATCTCACACTGTGGAACTTTTGGCTGTGATATCTCAGATTTAAAAACACTGGTAATTGAGTCTTGATGACTGGTGGATTCTACCATAACCACTCCTCATTTGAAATGTGAGAAGGGCCAAAGGTGTTAACAATATCAGTGCATTTTTTCCGGTCTCAATGGGCATTTTGTGTTTATTTGTTATTACATGTTAAGTTAAATTTTCATTTACTGTAATTTTTCTGCTTCAACTTTAGAACAAGAAGCCCAGATGGAAAATCACATTTAGTAAATAGTTCAAGTAGTGGCAGACTCTCACCATTTCCTCAAGAAGATCTTTCCAGTGTTGGATTTGTAGAAGAACCTGACCTAGTTGATCTGTGTGACATGTCAGGTCACATATGGGTGCATGAGAGATGTGCAGCATGGACTTTGGCCTCCATAGCAACCAAATCTTCAGCTGATTACACAGTGGATTTAACAAACCAGATTCTCTCAAAGGTAAATTCTTCTACCTTGTTGTTTGTGATGTCTGTTAGTTTATTGCAACTGCTTTTGAGAAACGGAGTGTAAATAAACCAACTACTCAACAAACAAGCCACGTGAATAATTTCCTAAAAACTAAAAGCCATGCGAGAGAGAAGCGTTTGCTTGCAGGCTATTCTTTGGTGGAATTTCCATACATCAAGGTTACACTTAACTGTTAACTCATTTGGACTTTGCATGCTTATTGTCAGTCAAGATGTACTAGTGGTTTATAATTAGTTCACCTTCAGCACTATATCACAAAGCAAATTAGTGACTGAAACTAATCTAACTCAAACATAACTGCTGGGTTCAAGAATGCCAACTGGTCAAAGCTGAACTAGTTGGAGACTACCGCAAAACAAATTCAGCTAGCAGTCAGGTGGGACCCAAGGCTCGCCATTACAGCTCCCTAGCTCTGACTGTTCAGCCAGGCTGTCTCCCAAAAAGTATTCAATGAATAAAATAATAAATAAAATAAAGGCCTTGAGTGGCTTTGGACTGTTTCCTTGTTTATATCTGTTGCACTGTAATGAGTTGTGTACTTCAAAGTATTTTTAATAATAATTTCAATTTTTTAGTATTTATTTATTTATACATTTACTTATTTGGGCAGAAATGTTGTTTTTGTGGTCGCTTTGGTGCAAGTATTGTCTGTGAAATGCCAGATTGTGGTAGAATATACCACTACCCCTGTGCAATGGCTGCAAGAACCTATCAGGTGAGAGCTGAGAACATATCATTAACAATATTATTTGACAAGGTTGAGCAGAAATATCGTAATTTGTCAGTGGCAAGTGAGATACTGATAAATCTTGATAAGTTGCATTAACCAAGTTCAATAATTGTTTTATCATTCCATCACCGAGTTTATTTTTGGATGAATATCTTTGCGAAGCGTAGCGATTTGGCCATTTTTACGCAATAGCAATTGCAAGAAGGAGAAAAGCGGGGTTTCATTTGCACATGAGCAGAATATTATTTGCTGCCAAACACAGTTGGATGACATTAAGCATGAGTAGACCATTATTTGTAGGTAGTTTTTTACCGGTCACATGGTGGGCTCTTGGTCAGTGAAAAGGAAAAAAAAGTTTGCATTGAATTATAAGTATTATGTGGTAACCATGTCAACATTCTTGGACACATGTCATTTCTAATGCCAATACACTTTTTATACAGAGTGAATCTTGCTGTTTCCCACAGTGGTGACCAGTATATATAGATGTCCTGGAAAAATATTAATTTTCATGTTTTTTATACATAAGGTGATTAATATTATTTCAATCCCAAATTATCCTGGACTCTCCACAAGGTAGAAATATCAAACATCATTGGGAATTATAAAGTACATAAATGTGTCATATCTTTTTTACAGGACATAAAAACATTGAAACTTTACTGTTCAAGTCATGAGGACATCATACAAAGAGTAGGTACGTATCTGGTTCTAACAATGGTAGTAATAAAGCTGATTCAAACAACAGACAAAAATAAAATCAACTATGCAAATAAAACAGTATTAAATATTATACCGTTAATTTGTAATATGCCTCTGAAAATGATTGCAGCCACTTTAAAGATCTTAAATATGATGAGAAAAATAAAAGAAAATTAAAGAAAAATAATTATTATTTTCCGTAAGATTTGTCTTCATTTAGAAAAAGTGGTTTAATAAGGCGAGAGATTTAATGTAATGTTTTGATTTGCAGCATTTTGTGACAGATGTCATCAGGGAGGGGAGCTGTCACAGTTGCTCCTCTGCAGCCGATGTAACTGTCATTATCACAGCTACTGCTGTTCACCCCCTGTGCGTGCTACTGAAACTGTTAGAGTTGGCTGGCAATGTGCTCAGTGTAAATCCTGCCAGTCTTGTAGGTAAGATCTTCAACTTTGTCATTAAACAAGCAGCCATTAGTAGATATCAGTAGATGTTGATTGTGTTGACATTCAAGTGCACGTAATTCATTAGTTGAGGTTCCTCTTTCCTAATTTTTTTTTCACTTATTTCTAACCCGAGGTATTTCTTCAAAAGTTGTGCAGGTAATGCATTAGCTATGTACAACATACCTGATTAAAGGATTATAATGTCAAGTAATGGTCCAGATAAGAAGGTTTAAGAACCAAATGCAATGAGCACGTCAAAGTGTAAAAAGGTGCTAACATTACTATTGTAATGAACTTCTGATTGGTTCAAACATCAAATTTTAATAAATTTTCACAAAGCAACATGTATATTAATCCCTTGTTTTCTAAACAGCTTCCTTGTAACAAAATTTTGTGAGTCTGCTGCCTCCTGCAGCGATCCTGTTACAAATAGTTATGGTGAGTCCTGGGACTCATCTTGTGAAAAGTTATGAGTCCCAGTCCAGAACCAATGAGTCCAAGTTAAAAAAACGAGTCCGAAATTGAAAATGCTTGGGCCTTTATGTAACCAAACAGTCTGAAGACAGACTCCAAAACTCTGTATTACAGTATACTGAAATTAAAATATAGTCCTTCTCTTCTAAAGTACAACAAAGGCTAAAAGAAATGTGCATCATTAAACAACAGCCATTATACTGCCTCAGAAATTACATGAACGGGCTATTTCTACAAATACACATGTTCAGATCAATCGATCCCTCTTTGCATCCTACGGGATGCATGCCATGAATTATTTTGCGTCTTTGTAGATTTTTATGTGTCAGGGACACAGGACACAGAGATTACAAAAACACTGCTCTTGGAGTCTCAATTTTTTTTAGTCTCAGTCTCGAATCTTGGACTCACAGTCTCACAAAGACTCGAATTTACCATTCTATACCCCTCAAAGAAATTGCTTCCCATCTTACCCCGATCACTAATAATGGTGATGATGATGATGATGATAAAAATAAATTACAACGACAACAATAATGATAATGATGATTATGATGATCATGTTAATAATGATGATGATAATAACAGTGAAGATGATGATGATGATGACGACAATTCTCATGTTAATAACATTATTGAGGCTTTGTTATTTTATTGAACACAAACTCGTGGAATTTAAAATCATGGCTGTTCTACATTTCACAGACTTCCTTCCCCAAAGGATAAGCTGCTAATATGTCGCAGCTGTGACAAAGGTTACCATCCATTGTGTACAGCACCGGTGGTGAACCCTACAGAAAAATTGGGCTGGAAGTGTGAGGTTAGTTGTTAGCTTTGTTTGAAGCAGAAATTATTTACAAGCCAATGCAACCTGTCAGGAGCCATGCTATTTGTCTTGACCAGAATGTCATTTCCTTCATTTTAGTCAGATTGTCCCTGTCTCCTTCAGTTATTTATTTAGGCTTATTGGCCTTTCGGAAAAGCCTCTCTAACTGAGAAAGGCACTTAACTGCCGGTCAAAGCTGTGTCATACTTGGATTGTGTCAACTAAAAGAGACATGTCTTCATCCTCAGGTTTCTGACTTCGTGCCTGTCTCAAATGTCTATTAATATAATATCCAGTAACGTGACTGTTTGTGAGGAACCATACTTTTTCCTGCTAAACTTGATACACATTTTTCAACTATCTTCCAAACAGAGATGTCGGCAATGCAGGATTTGCAGAACTAAGAAGACATCACGGTGGCACATTGACTATACATTGTGTGACAAGTGCTACCAAAACAAACACAAGACAAATCACTGTCCAATTTGCAACACTGAGCAGGGTAACCACAGAGTGGTGCAGTGTGATTCATGCAGCAGGTGACTACATCAGTACCTTTTTTGTGACAAAACTTTTACATTTTGGAGAAGATAGAAACCTTTCATTATATGACAATCCTTCAATGAATCAACTTTTTGATAGGTGGATTCATACGATGTGTGACAACATAACTGATGAGATTTACAGGAAACTTGAGAGAGATCGCAGCATTATTTATGTGTGCAAAATATGCAGAGATGAAGTTGAGAAGATTAAAAGGGAATGCAGAAGAGAGGTAAGGGGTCACGTTATGATAGCAGTGGGGGGAAGGGGAGTGGGTGAGTCAAGCCCATTGGCCTATGAAACTTACATCTTAATGAATACAATCAATACAAAGAAAACTCCTAGTGCAAAATACTTTCAAGAAAAAACTGTTTGGAAAAGATGAGTCTTAATTTTGCTATATAGTGACTGAATATATCACAATTTATCAGGCAAATTATTCCATAAACAGGATGGCAGCTAGTAACAGTGTTATTTCTTGAACAAGGTTTATTTTTGCATTACTCTTGCAGTGTTTGAATTCAGCCTGATCTGCCTTAAGTCCTTTTCTAACAGTGTTATTTTCCTGTGCAGATCAAAGCAGACCCTGTAGAGCTGGAAGAGTTATCTCCAGTTACTTCCATGATATTAGCTCAGGAAATGTACAAAGGAGAGAACACAAAATACAACTCTGATGTTACAACCAGCATGGCCACAACGCCATGTTCAATGACATGGATGACCTCTGAGCCTGTACAGTGGTCCAGATTAAGGATGACCTACTCTTTTGAATATTTTATCATGAAGCAGTATGGAAAAGTGCTACTTTAAGAGTGATACTTTGTGTATTGGTAATCTTGTAAAGTAGTCTTTATTTGATTCCAAAGCCCTTGATCTGATTGAGCGATTTAAAAATTGTTTTTTGGACTGTATAGGTATAAATTGTTATACAATCTAAGGAACCTCAATCCGTTTTATCTGCCAAATGTCACAACTTGAATAGTTATGACGTCTGGTGGGAGTTTGAATTTGTTTCGTGGAGAATCTCACCCTTAATTGTAATGCATACCATAGTTTATTCAGTGTATCAGAACTTTCTTTTAGTGGACATGGAAAGAAGCGTGATATGAATTACATCTGACATGCTAGCCAAGAAAGAAAGTGGTTTCAATACTTTTAGGTTATGAGGTATTTGTTCTGATGCCTCATACCAAGGTACCACTATTGCTCTATGTGTGCTACATCATAAGCAGTGAAAATTTTCCAAGATGCTAGATGAAACATGGAAGGGCTACAGTAGATTGTATAGTACCTAGCAGCTAATGGCATGTTGTTCACTACCTCTTTGCTTTCTCAGGGCACAATTTTGCCAAAAATTTTATAATTTGAAAATATCATTAACTCACTGGAAACTGCTGGTCATTTTCTTTAAGTCACTGGAAAAAAATTGCCCTTGGAAGGTATTCGTATTACTCATAACATTGTGTTTTGGTTTGTGCTCTTGTCAAACGTTTTTATTAAGTATCTGGGTATGCAGCAGTGCAAGGTTGTACTTAATGCCCCTAATTTTCCATGTTCACTTTTTCTTTTAACTGCTTACTATAATGTGTGTTTTTTGGGCGCTTATTGTGTGACATAATCATGGCCTTTTTTATCATTTTTTAAATTGTTTTACTTTAAGAATTTGTTACAACTGTAACTCTATGACTGCCACAACTACACTTACTATTGATGATTTTCAGATTGAAATGTTGTGGTAACAATTTTTAACCTAAAGAACATTTATATTGATGCTTCAAACTTGTATGTTGTATATAGTAAATTATTGACATGTCAGTATTTAAATTAGGCACATGTAACACAATACCCCTTGACCTTTGTGTTGTTAATTACTTTAACATCAACTGTTCTGCTAGAACACACACATTGCCATAGAGCAAGTCAGGAAAAATACATATATACCTCAAACATTTAAAGAACTGAATTGATATAATTTATAATATTGTTATATAATTTCCCAATGCTAATGCCAAATCCTCCCAAATTTGCAGAAAATTGGATATTTATTAATTATTGTCTGTCAGTGAAATATTTGGAATTGTCTGATTAATAAACATTGCAGACATCTTTTTTAATAATGGTGCACATTTTTTCTTTCAAAAAAATGAAAATACAGTTTTTGAATAATACATCTCATCTGAAGTTATGACAAGCACAGTTGTTTGGCTGAATATCTACTGTCTACTGAATGAATATGAACCTTTTAAATATTATGTGGAAGTTAGCAGTAGAAATATTATATATTATGTATATCATGCCAAGTTTTAGCTGTAATAATCATAAGACATAGTTGTTAGGTGCTGGTTTAATATCCTTGCTATGGTGCTCTTGGTTAAAGACAGAAAATTACCAGTCAGTTGCATTTTTTTGTCCTTGTTTTCAGTAAAAAAAAAAACAGTAACATTGCGCTTGTCACATCTGACCTGTTAGAGTCATGAACTGAAATTTGTTTCTCAAAATAATGTCTTATTTGTTACTGAAATGTTAATTTCATAATAGGAGTAATTCTGGTAATCAAAAAAATTTTTGCCATTATTTAGGGCTGGAACCCAGTATTGATCTTTCTAATATTATAACAACTGGGTCTTATTAATAATTAATGTACAAGACTAAAATCAAGTTACTCTCTAGAGGAAGATAATTAGGCCCAAACAACATCTAGTATCCTCTACATAAAACGCTGTCTGTGACAAAAGTCTACTTTTAGGCTATTTTACTTCTGTTAAATCATATTTTATTTTATTCTTTTAATGTGAAAAAAGAATGATATTTTATTGATGTTTTGTACACTGATTTCATTTTACAGTGAGTTAGACGATGAAATTTTCTGCAATTGTTTCTATTAGATCTGGAACTGGGTTCATGAAGACCTTCTCAGTTAGGATACATCATACATTTTGTCTTATAAACAATACATAAGATATATCTTAACTTATCAAGCTTTCAAGAATCCGGTTGCTGTTCCAGTAAAAAGGTACAAGTTGTTGGCTTGTTAGCTTGAACAGTCCAATCTCCTGAAGGCCAACAACACTCATTTGTATGTCACAGGGACCATTTTGAATGATAAGATGTTTCCATTAGTTGAGGTTAAAGCTGTATTTTAGACACTGTATATCAAGAGAACATGCTGGCTCTGGTAAGTCAGTTTATTTCTGGAATCTTAGAATTGTCTGGAAAACAAAGCTCATAAAATTTAATGACACATGGACTACAAGCTTCATTCACAAATTATAGTTATTATAACTTCTTAATGAAATCCAACTAGTATTTAAGACTTCTTATACTGATAATGTTCTCTGGCTGGTTGATCTCTACCTTAAGCTTTCAGTTCAAAACGTTGAAACAAAAATGTTTCAGTGAATTTAATATTGACAGCTCTGGGCCTGCCTCCTCTTCAGGCGCTTTGTTCTTCACCCAGAAGAGAGCGCGAAATGTGAGTGACAGGCGAGTGACTAGTGATGAAGTGTAAGGAATAGTTGGAAGGAGAAAAATGAGAGGTGCAGACATCTCCCCCATTTCGTTCATCCTGCCATCCTTTGCACCCATACGAGGCAGCCTCTGGGCAGTAACAAGTTTAAGACATTTCATGAGGTGTTTTTAGTTTTTTACAGAAGTACAATTTCGTGCGATTTACAGTCAAGGTAGGCCCTGTTTTGCCTCACAGTTAAAGAAAAACAGTTTATGCAAATAGTATTCAAGCAATTGTAGTGTTGCAACCAGTCAGATTTCATTAGTGAAATTTGATTGGTAACATTGTCAGATCACTCCAGTCTGAGGTGTTAATGAATCTTTTTGTCATTTATTTAATACTATTAATTGTATCAAATCTACCTTGCAATATTAAAAACCCTACATAAACTGGATCTTTATAACACAACCTACAACTTTATATTTATATCTGAAATTTTCAAACGTACTAGAAACCTATTAAAACTATCTGATCAACTTGAAAACAGAAGATAATTATTTTTATGAAACTGATGCAGGACCTTTATACTTAATATTTTAAAAAACTGATAATGCATTTGATGACCTGTTTAATATTGATGTAATATATATTGAAATACTTAATATTAAGTGTATGTGTTACTGCAGTGAGTACTGCTTCTTAAATAATGGTTTTCACATAAATAACTTTCGTACCTGCTTACTTTTTTGTCTGGGTGATAATTAATCAGGGCTTGAAAAAAAATCCCATCCAGTCGTCCAAGAGAACTATATTTCCTTGCCAGGCAAGTAGGTTACATGCTCACTTACCCACTGGCCAAGGGCAAGCAAGCCATCTTCTAACTCACAATGATGAACACACATTAATCACCTTGGGCAAGCAAAATGAGAGAACAGATTGTCCTAATGACAAGCTCGAATACAAGGTTTTTTTTTTCAAGCCCTGATACTGGTCCTTTTCAAGTACAGCCAACCCAAGCAGTATTATTTTGTGATTTTCCATGGGAGCAGCTCTTGGGATTCTGTGGTATAAAATATACCCTGCAAGTTCGTATCTACCTGGTAAAGTGGGTTCCATCTGTAAAGGAGCTCCATAAATAGCTACTGCCTACTGATATTTTGTAATGTATCATAACATCATTATTTCAGTTGGAGTGAAATAAACCACCATAAGTACATAGTGGCAAAGTATTTAAAGAAGCCATTTGTCATTTTATTGTTAGTAGCATGTAGTGTGTGATATTTAGTACTTTAAGTGTAATAAAGCTAAAGAATCAGTCACATTATAAGTGATGAGCTTAAATAAATTCCATTTTTAAGTATCAATGGAAAAAGTAAATTTTAAATTTTGCATTAATAAATAAGTATTAACAAATTTTGAAAAACTGCTGAAAGTTTTATTTGTCTTAAAGTGCAATTACGCTATTTAAGATGCAGGACAAAAATACAACTCAAGATACAAAAAAAACAAAGCAACTTGTTTATTCATCACAGCTTATTGTTAACACATTCCAAATTGTTAAAACTCAGCAGTTCCTCTGCTCAAAATCATATATGTTTTTCGAAAACTATATTTAAGAAGTTAGTTTTTTGAAGAGCCAGTTAAAATCAAATTATGAGGATGTAAAATTAAGCTGAAAGTTAAAAATGATTATTAGTTCACAGAACTGTAGTCTGCATAAGAGGCGTTATTTTTCACATTTTTCAGGCACGCGAAGGAAAGCACAAAACCAGCGACAAGCGCCAGACGTGCACATGCCTTCCCCAATTGCATTTACTTGCCTGAAAAAATGCATTTATAAGCATAAATTTATTAGAACTTACACTAGCTTTTCACAGTTCATAAGACGTTCAAGGTGTGCATTTAAATAACATATTCATATTTATTCCACAATAAAATCATGCTGGGGTCCTAGGGCTGAAATATTCCAAGATCAAAGTATTGCATATTTTGTTTTCTTCAACAACATTTTAAGTCATTAATTATCTGCATTAACAGTGCCCTTTATTGGTTTGTGAGATAACTAAAGACGTATTGTACAGTACAGCTGTACTTGTTGTACCCACAGGCTATGGTACCCCAGTATGTTATTGACTATATTAATATTATGCTTTGGGCTGCTAAAATTGCTTAGAAAGTGTTGATTAAATTAATGATTTTTGTTAATCAGTGTATAAGTAATTAAATTTTATAAAAATACAATAAAAAAATGCTGTGCTATTGAAACAGACTATGACTGATATATTGTAAGATAAACACCCCCTTAAGACTTGTCAATTTAAACAAAATTATAATCTAAAGAAATTGAAAGCAATCTATAATTCTGTAAAGCAGTCTGAACTAACTTCTGACAACTTCTGACTTGACCCAAGCATGATACTCTGGCTGACACTGAAGAAAAGTATTCGATTTCTCAAGCATAATCAGTCAAACCTTAGACTTGTACAGTTAAACTTATCCCATATAATGTGATTATTCTGTATAAAGAACAGGAAATGGAAGTTCCGCTGTAGGTTGCAACCTAAAAAAAAAAGAGAGAAGATCAACTTTAGCATATTGTTCACATAAACCCTTTTTCTACAACCAGCCGTGAGACAGTCATAATTCAGAGGGGAAGACAATGGGGCTTGCAAGAAGCACAAAGGCACTCAGAACATTTGTCTGTAGCTAAAATTTTGGGCCATTTGAAATACTCCCTTTTATACTTCTTTACTAATATTTTAATACTACTTTATCAATGCCTCTGGATTCTCCACCAATTTCCAGAGGAAATGTGAATGTACATGTATGGGTAAAAATTAAATTCAGGTTAAATTTTTTTAACCTAGGTTGATTCTCAACCTCCTTTGTCTCTTAGCCCTAATTCATGAATAATTAGGGTTGGGGGATAAAGAAAATTGAGAATCAGCCAAGGTTAAAAAAACTTTCACCTGAATTTAACTTTGACCTGTAACATACATGCCAGGATTTGCAACAGCTTAAGCATACTGTATATAAACTTCCTACAATGTCTAAAACTATTGCTTGCTGTCATAGTCACATAGTCAGAGGCCTCCAATACAGGTCATTAATTCTCTCTTGTCGTTAAGGTCAATACTAGGCAGATATTTTAACCTCAAAAATGTTTTTTTACAGTTGCCAGAATTTGTGACGCTTTTTACCAAAAATTCTGCCATATTTTTTAGTGGGGAGAAGGGGTGGTTTAGTGTCACGTGTGGAGTGGGTTGATAGTGGGGTGGAGATGGGGGCCAGTGCAGGGCAAAAAACTCCAGATTTCACCTCTACAGGAGTTGGCTACCCTGCCTAACATCAGGGAAAACATACTGTAAACTGTTGCTTATCATCTTCAAAAGGGGTTTTAGGACAGCTTATATCTGGCAGACTTAAAAAGACAGAGTACAAAATCGTGGATCAAAACAAGCTATAGCAGTGTTGATCAAAAGGCGTTTTGCATTTACTGGTTGTTAATGAAGTTTCCAAATGCCAAAATAAATCAAACTCATTTTAATACAAGCTAGCTAGGTGCCGGGTGGGGGCTTATAATCAAATGTAGTTTTTTGTTTGCAGGTACATGGGCAAAAAACTAGGAGCTGGGTTTATAAGCAGCAGTTTATGGTTCCAAGAAGTGCCAAAAAAAACAGAGCTTGAAAAACTGGACTCAAAAAGAAAAAATTGAAATGCTTTGCAGTTTTCTGATTGTCTGGCAGCTCTCTGAGCTCTGGGTCCTCTGGTTTTCCTTACTCCGCACAAACGTTTCTAAACTATTACCAGGTCATGCCCAACATTCTCAAGTAGAGTTATTAAGCATGCATAAGTAAAAAACAGCCAAAACTCAAGTTGAACTATGAGCTACAAAACTGAAATAAAGTATGTTTTTAAAAAAAACTTGCTAACTTAGAGTTCTCAATAACATCTTACCAGTTCTGTTTGCTCCACTCTGTATTTTCTTGTTCAACAATATGGAATGTATATGCATGTCGGGATTTCTCTGACTTGTTCTCAGCACTTCTATGTAACACTGTTCCATGAATCAGCACCAATGAACCTATAATAAAATTAATATCAACAACTGATACATTCACTTGCTTTACTCTTCATTTGCACCAATGACCCATAATTGCTTCTAAATAAACCATAAGATGCCACCAAAGACCCAAGACTCGAGTTGCTGCTGATCAGCCCTTATTATTTCATAAGAGGATTTTACTGGAAAAACAAGCAGATTGGCTCATTTGTCAATGACGGGAAAAAACTGAAGAGGTTTTTAAAGGCATGTTCTCGATTTTATGCATGCATTTCTTCATTGCTTAACAAGCCAGACTTACATAGCGAAACTCGGGAGCTATTGACATGAATCAACATTTTTCTGGTTATTGAATCAAGTTTCTCTTGATATTATTTGAAGAATATCCTTTCATATTTATAAAACAATTTATAGCAGTTAACTTTACAGTGCACTGTTAATTTTAATGTCAATAATGTCATAGCAATACTAAAACCATAAACTGTTGTCATCACGGCATGAAGTCATAATTAGAATAGCACTATTTCAACAAGAAAGCTTCGTCTACTTTGGTCACTGTGCACATAATTCAACAAACTTGTATATATTTATTTTTCATTATTTCTTAACGTACTGATTCTGTAAGCCATCTTATAATGTATCAACTTGAATAATGCAAAATAAACTTGAACCTTGAACCTCAAAGGAAGATGTTAATTGAAACAAAAAATTGCACATTAAAATGCTTAAAATGGCACTACTTGACTTTGCGATCAATGAAAAAATGTGGCAGTGTTAGCGGAGAACAGGCCATTTGCCCTCGTTTTTAGTCCCCACCCCGGGGAATTGACAGCCCTGGGTGCAGGTGGAATTGACTGATGCATAAATGGTGTCACCAGTGTGAAGAAACACATCACTCCTCTAGCCACTGATTCTTAACTTGATCAATAATACTTAGCAGGGGCGGATCCAGGATTTTTTTTATGAGGGGGTGCACTTGTCTCTTGCTCTACTTCAACACCATTAAACCACATAGTTTTTTTTTTCTTTGCAGAATACCAGTTGTATTAGAAAACCGCAGGTCATCTCGGGGGCGCACCCCTTGCACCCTCCCCCTAGATCCGCCCCTGCTTAGCCATAGTCACTGGGAGATACAAGAGTGTACAAAACCACAAAAAATTTGCTTGACATGATCTACTTGCTATTAAAAAATTTTGAGTACAGCTGGAATTTCCTGACCTTTTTTTGTGAGTTGAGGAATGTAATCATTTTCATGACCAGCTTCTTCACTATCCGCTCCCATAAAAATGGTGGGTGTCCCCCCAGGCTGGGGGTTACGAATAAACCGTCGCTTTAATTCATCTGTTGAAAAAGATAATTGAATAAAAATATATCAGTTGAGTATTTCCTGACTCTTATTTCATAGAAATAATGTTTAAATATGTTTTATGGCTAAGTTCATATAATGGTACCAGACAAATTTTAACTTATTAAAAAAATTTTACAGGACGTGTAGACAAGTTCACATTGAACTGCTTAACACGGAACTGAAGGACCAGGTTGAATTTTAACATTTTTTCAGTAGTTTTACTATCTGCTATGTACAGAGTGCTACTTAAGCAAATCTAAAATGGCCTCTTCTTACCAAGTAACCATGCATTCGATCACCATGCAACTAGTACATCTTTGCTGTACAAGAGGGTCAAGTAGTTTACACAATGCTGGTCAATATTTCAACCTTAAAATTTGACTGATTTTGGTACTTAAATTTTTGAGGGGCTAAGCATCTAAATTGATTATTTTTTGTATGGTTAGCATAGCTCCCTGCTGTGAGTGGAATGGAATGCAGAGATTTTCAGGCAGTCAAAAATTCATTTGGTACCACATGAACAAAGCCTTAGATATTCTCAGCAGATGTCATGGTCAATGAAACATGGACAAAAATTAGGCTGTGTATAAAAGTGGGATGGGGACAAGGGGACAGGGACATCGGGACGCGTGTGTGGGGACTTGGGACTTGGGGACGCAAGACGAGGGACTTGAGGACATCAACTATGGGACGCGGGGACAGGGACGTCAAAAGCCGGGATGCAGAGGACGCGGAATGTGAATGATTATCGCAAAAGTCGGAGGTAAATGTGATATCTCTTTCTTCGTGAAAATGTATTATGTGTTAATCGTGATTAGGGTTAGGGTTGATTTCCACTGTCGCGTTATTTTTCCACGCATACGTGCGTAAAATTTACGTTTGCAAATAAAATAGAGGCAATGTATAAAAGGACGCACGTAAGCATAAAAGTAGAATCTCGCTCAACTTCACTTTTAATGTCAACAATTTATATCTTGCCTCTATCTTATTTACGTGATTTAAATTTACTTGTGTTAACGTGTACAGCCACAAAACGCGTAAGTGGAAATCAACCTTTAAG